CACCAGTAACACACCTAGGCAGGCGCCACCAGTCACACGCCTAGGCAGGCGCGACCAGTAACACGCCTAGGCAGGCGCCACCAGTAACACACCTAGGCAGGCGCGACCAGTAACACACCTAGGCAGGCGCCACCAGTAACACACCTAGGCAGGAGCCTTCAGTAACACACCTAGGCAGGCGCCACCAGTAACACACCTAGGCAGGCGCCACCAGTAACACACCTAGGCAGGCGCCTTCAGCAACACAGCTAGGCAGGCGCGACCAGTAACACACCTAGGCAGGCGCCACCAGTAACACACCTAGGAAGGCGCCTTCCGCAACACACCTAGGAAGGCGCCTTCAGTAACACACCTAGGCAGGCGCCTTCAGCAACACAGCTAGGCAGGCGCCACCAGTAACACACCTAGGCAGGCGCCACCAGTAACACACCTAGGCAGGCGCCACCAGTCACACGCCTAGGCAGGCGCGACCAGTAACACGCCTAGGCAGGCGCCACCAGTAACACACCTAGGCAGGCGCGACCAGTAACACACCTAGGCAGGCGCGACCAGTAACACACCTAGGCAGGAGCCTTCAGTAACACACCTAGGCAGGCGCCACCAGTAACACACCTAGGCAGGCGCCACCAGTAACACACCTAGGCAGGAGCCACCAGTAACACACCTAGGCAGGCGCCACCAGTAACACACCTAGGAAGGCGCCACCAGTAACACACCTAGGCAGGCGCCACCAGTAACACACCTAGGAAGGCGCCACCAGTAACACACCTAGGCAGGCGCCACCAGTAACACACCTAGGCAGGCGCCACCAGTAACACACCTAGGCAGGCGCCACCAGTAACACACCTAGGCAGGAGCCACCAGTAACACACCTAGGCAGGCGCCACCAGTAACACACCTAGGAAGGCGCCACCAGTAACACACCTAGGCAGGCGCCACCAGTAACACACCTAGGCAGGCGCCACCAGTAACACACCTAGGCAGGCGCCACCAGTAACACACCTGGGCAGGCGCCACCAGTAACACACCTAGGCAGGCGCCACCAGTAACACACCTAGGCAGGCGCCTTTAGTAACACACCTAGGCAGGCGCCACCAGTAACACACCTAGGCAGGCGCCACCAGTAACACACCTGGGCAGGCGCCACCAGTAACACACCTAGGCAGGCGCCACCAGTAACACACCTAGGCAGACGGCACCAGTAACACACCTAGGCAGGCGCCACCAGTAACACACCTAGGCAGGCGCCACCAGTAACACACCTAGGCAGGCGCCACCAGTAACACACCTAGGCAGGCGCCACCAGTAACACACCTAGGCAGGCGCCACCAGTAACACACCTAGGCAGGCGCCACCAGTAACACACCTGGGCAGGCGCCACCAGTAACACACCTAGGCAGGCGGCACCAGTAACACACCTAGGCAGGTGCCACCAGTAACACACCTAGGTAAGCGCCACCAGTAACACACCTGGGCAGGCGCCACCAGTAACACACCTAGGCAGGCGCCACCAGTAACACACCTAGGCAGGCACCACCAGTAACACACCTAGGCAGGCGCCACCAGTAACACACCTAGGCAGGCGCCACCAGTAACACACCTAGGCAGGCGCCACCAGTAACACACCTAGGCAGGCGCCACCAGTAACACACCTAGGCAGGCGCCACCAGTAACACACCTAGGCAGGCGCCACCAGTAACACACCTGGGCAGGCGCCACCAGTAACACACCTAGGCAGGCGCTACCAGTAACACACCTAGGCAGGCGCCACCAGTAACACACCTAGGCAGGCGCCACCAGTAACACACCTAGGCAGGCGCCACCAGTAACACACCTAGGCAGGCGCCACCAGTAACACACCTAGGCAGGCGCCACCAGTAACACACCTAGGCAGGCGCCTTCAGTAACACACCTAGGCAGGAGCCTTCAGTAACACACCTAGGCAGGCGCCACCAGTAACACACCTAGGCAGGCGCCACTAGTAACACACCTAGGCAGGCGCCACCACTAACACACCTAGGCAGGCGCCACCAGTAACACACCTAGGCAGGCGCCACCAGTAACACACCTAGGCAGGCGCCACCAGTAATACACCTAGGCAGGCGCCACCAGTAACACACCTAGGCAGGCGCCACCAGTAACACACCTAGGCAGGCGCCTTCAGTAACACACCTAGGCAGGAGCCTTCAGTAAAACACCTAGGCAGGCGCCACCAGTAACACACCTGGGCAGGCGCCACCAGTAACACACCTAGGCAGGCGCCACCAGTAACACACCTAGGCAGGCGCCACCAGTAACACACCTAGGCAGGCGCCACCAGTAACACACCTAGGCAGGCGCCACCAGTAACACACCTAGGCAGACGCCACCAGTAACACACCTAGGCAGGAGCCACCAGTAACACACCTAGGCAGGCGCCACCAGTAACATACCTAGGCAGGCGCCACCAGTAACACACCTAGGCAGGCGCCTTTAGTAACACACCTAGGCAGGAGCCTTCAGTAAAACACCTAGGCAGGCGCCACCAGTAACACACCTGGGCAGGCGCCTTTAGTAACACACCGAGGCAGGCGCCTTCAGTAACACACCTAGGCAGGCGCCTTCAGTAACACACCTAGGCAGGAGCCACCAGTAACACACCTAAGCAGGCGCCACCAGTAACACACCTGGGCAGGCGCCACCAGTAACACACCTAGGCAGGCGCCTTCAGTAACACACCTAGGCAGGCGCCTTCAGTAACACACCTAGGCAGGCGCCACTAGTAACACACCTAGGCAGGCGCCACCACTAACACACCTAGGCAGGCGCCACCAGTAACACACCTAGGCAGGCGCCACCAGTAACACACCTAGGCAGGCGCCACCAGTAATACACCTAGGCAGGCGCCACCAGTAACACACCTAGGCAGGCGCCACCAGTAACACACCTAGGCAGGCGCCTTCAATAACACACCTAGGCAGGAGCCTTCAGTAACACACCTAGGCAGGCGCCACCAGTAACACACCTAGGCAGAAGCCACCAGTAACACACCTAGGCAGGCGCCACCAGTAACACACCTAGGCAGGCGCCTTCAGTAACACACCTAGGCAGGAGCCTTCAGTAAAACACCTAGGCAGGCGCCACCAGTAACACACCTGGGCAGGCGCCACCAGTAACACACCTAGGCAGGCGCCACCAGTAACACACCTAGGCAGGCGCCACCAGTAACACACCTAGGCAGGCGCCACCAGTAACACACCTAGGCAGGCGCCACCAGTAACACACCTAGGCAGGCGCCACCAGTAACACACCTAGGCAGGAGCCACCAGTAACACACCTAGGCAGGCGCCACCAGTAACATACCTAGGCAGGCGCCACCAGTAACACACCTAGGCAGGCGCCTTTAGTAACACACCTAGGCAGGAGCCTTCAGTAAAACATCTAGGCAGGCGCCACCAGTAACACACCTGGGCAGGCGCCTTTAGTAACACACCTAGGCAGGCGCCTTCAGTAACACACCTAGGCAGGCGCCTTCAGTAACACACCTAGGCAGGAGCCACCAGTAACACACCTAAGCAGGCGCCACCAGTAACACACCTAGGCAGGCGCCACCAGTAACACACCTAGGCAAGCGCCACCAGTAACACACCTAGGCAGGCGCCACCAGTAACACACCTAGGCAGGCGCCACCAGTAGCACACCTAGGCAGGCGCCACCAGTAACACACCTAGGCAGGCGCCACCAGTAACACACCTAGGCAGGCGCCACCAGTAACACACCTAGGCAGGCGCCACCAGTAACACACCTAGGCAGGCGCCACCAGTAGCACACCTAGGCAGGCGCCACCAGTAACACACCTAGGCAGGCGCCACCAGTAACACACCTAGGCAGGCGCCTTCAGTAACACACCTAGGCAGGAGCCACCAGTAACACACCTAAGCAGGCGCCACCAGTAACACACCTAGGCAGGCGCCACCAGTAACACACCTAGGCAAGCGCCACCAGTAACACACCTAGGCAGGCGCCACCAGTAACACACCTAGGCAGGCGCCACCAGTAGCACACCTAGGCAGGCGCCACCAGTAACACACCTAGGCAGGCGCCACCAGTAACACACCTAGGCAGGCGCCACCAGTAACACACCTAGGCAGGCGCCACCAGTAACACACCTAGGCAGGCGCCACCAGTAGCACACCTAGGCAGGCGCCACCAGTAACACACCTAGGCAGGCGCCACCAGTAACACACCTAGGCAGGCGCCTTCAGTAACACACCTAGGCAGGAGCCACCAGTAACACACCTAAGCAGGCGCCACCAGTAACACACCTAGGCAGGCGCCACCAGTAACACACCTAGGCAAGCGCCACCAGTAACACACCTAGGCAGGCGCCACCAGTAACACACCTAGGCAGGCGCCACCAGTAGCACACCTAGGCAGGCGCCACCAGTAACACACCTAGGCAGGCGCCACCAGTAACACACCTAGGCAGGCGCCACCAGTAACACACCTAGGCAGGCGCCACCAGTAACACACCTAGGCAGGCGCCACCAGTAGCACACCTAGGCAGGCGCCACCAGTAACACACCTAGGCAGGCGCCACCAGTAACACACCTAGGCAGGCGCGTTTGTGTGAATTTGTGCATGCCTACGTGAGGGCTAGGCTTTGAAAAAGGGAGTGCACGCATGTGACTTGGCCCTGAGGGGTAAGCAGCAGGTTGCCGGGGTGCGGGTCGGCGTGTATGTGTGTGTGTGTGTGCAGGAGGGGCCATGGGTGGGAGAGTGAGCACGCACGCGACTTGGCCTTGTGGAGTGAGCAGCAGGTTGCCGGGGTGCGGGTCGGCGTGTATGTGTGTGTGTGTGTGTGTGTGTGTGTGCAGGAGGGGCTGTGGGTGGGAGAGTGAGCACGCACGCGACTTGGCCTTGTGGAGTGAGCAGCAGGTTGCCGGGGTGCGGGTCGGCGTGTATGTGTGTGTGTGTGTGTGTGTGCAGGAGGGGCCGTGGGTGGGAGAGTGAGCACGCACGCGACTTGGCCTTGTGGAGTGAGCAGCAGGTTGCCGGGGTGCGGGTCGGCGTGCAGCACTCCCGTGACCAGCAGCTGCTCCAATGATGACTCCACGCCTATGCCCACCTGGTAGTGCCACGCCCATAGGGAGGGAGGGGGGAAGGGCAAGTGGAGCATGGAGCATAGAGGTGATGGGCTATGGGGTGTGCAGCACTCCCGTGACCAGCAGCTGCTCCAATGATGACTCCACGCCTATGTGCCGTACAGACGAGCAATTCAAGACCCCCACCACCCTCCCACTGCCCCTCCCAACCCCCTTACCATTCTCCACCCCTCTCCCCCACCATCACTCCCCCCCCCCCCACGCCCACCATGCGCAGCAGCTTCTGCTTGGCGCGCTGCCGTGCCTCCTCCCCACCAGCGGCCCCCAGCACGCCCTGAGCCTGGGCGAGCAGGTCGCTGGTGTGCTCGCCCTCCACCCACTCCATCGTCAGCACTCGCCGGGAGGTCAGGTCTGACCGTATAGCGGGGACTGTGATGCCGGGGAGATGCGCGTGGGCTTTCTGGTGGGGTGGGGAGGGGGGCTCATGGTGGCGGGGTGGAGGGCAGACGGGGCGAGGGCACAGGGTGGGGGGAGTGAGGAGAGTGAGGAGGGTGGAAGGCGAGGAGAGAATGTGGATGGCTGGCACCGTGATGCAGGCTTGGAAGCAAGATGCGAGCTTGTGAGCATATGCGCCGTTAGGAGGCATGCAAGCAAACATGCAAGCAAGCAGGCAGGCAGGCACAGACGGCAGGGAGAGCAGCAAAGGGGGGGAGAGTAGCAAAGGGGGGGAGCAGGGAGCGGCATGCCACGCACAGCGAAGAGGGTGGCGTTGTTGGCTTCCTGACGATAGTCCAGCTCGTCATACAGCCCCCTCCCAAAATCGTCCTCCCACCAATGCAGAGAGCAAGCAGGCAGGCAAACATAGAGCAAGCATGCAAGCAGGCAGGCAGGACTGACAGCGAAGAGGGTGGCGTTGGTGGCCTCGTGACGGTAGTCCAGCTCGCCATACAGCCCCCTCCCAAACTCGTCCGCTAATGCTGCCAGGTCCGTGTTTATCCCCGCCACCCTCCTCACTGCCCGCAGCTGGTGGGGGGGGAGGGAGGGGAGAGGGAGGAGAAAGAGAGGAAGGGTGGGCAAGGTGGGCGAGGTGAGCGACGTGGGGAGAGGCAATGGGTGTGGCAGGTACAGGTGAACACATGCAACAGGGAAAAGAGCATGCAAACGGTAGAAGAGGGCTGACCAGCATGCGCAGGATGTGGATGTCTCGGGCGACCAGGAAGAGCACTCTGGGCCGCTGCACCTTCACCGCCACTCGCATGCCGTCCCGCGTGCGCCCCTTGTACACCTGTGGTGGGTGGGGCATGCGTTCACATCCAGGCACGTGTGGGCACGCGCACACATACGTGATCTGACTGGCCAACACATGCAGACACACGTGCAGACGCACATGCAGTAGCAGCGCACAGAGCAGCACGGCTGCTGGCCCGCTCACCTTCCCTTCCACCACCCATGCTGCTGTGCTCACAGCCACTCTCCCTCGCTCTATCACTCTCGCCTGATCAGAATTCACAACCGGAACCTGACAAGCGCCCTTCCCTTGCGTTCTCAGCTCACCTGGCCAAACGAGGCAGCAGCGACGGGCGTGGGCGAGAGGAGGGGGAAGAGCGCGGCAGCGGGGCGGCCCAGCTCCCTCTCGATCACCAACATAGCGTCCTCTGATGGGAACGCTGGTAGACGGTCCTGCAGCTCCGCCAATACCTGGTTGGAGGGAGACAGGGGAGTTTGGCACAGGCGACTGTCAGAGTCCAAGCCTGCACCCATCCCCCTCCTGCCTTGTTATCACGCCCATCAACTCCACCCCTTTTCCCAATCACAACCTTCTCTCCTTCAGAAACACCATTGCTTCTCACCTTGGCAGTGTCTGGCCCCACCACGTCCGGCCTCGCTGACAGCGACTGCGCCACTGGGGAGAGGGGGGAGGGGAAGGGGAGGAGGGGGAGCGGGGGAAAGAGGAGGCGGGGGGAAACGAGGGGGATGGGGGGAAAGAGAGAAAAGGGGAGAGGATGAAGGGATGAAGGCAAATGGACAAGGCTGGGGGACGACTCATGGAGAGCTAGAAGGCCAGATGCAGGGAAGAGAGCGGGTTGTTGTCAACCACACAATGGAGCACGGCCTAGGGAAATGTCACATCTCCAATTCGATGATACAATGAGGCACGCGCACAGGCATGGGGCATGAGGTGGGTGGCACACACGCACCTTTGATGAAGGTGGGGCCGAGGCGCAGCAGCGTGCGCTTGAGCTTGAGCGCGCTGTGCTGGCGGATGGCTGCGATGCGCTCGTCCCCCGCACTCACCCCCCCCGCCTCCCTCGCCCGTATGGCGCCCGTGTCCCTCGCCACCTGCACCCACGTCGCTGCCAGCAGCACCGAGATCTGTGTGGGGGGTGGGTGACGGTTAGTGAGGGGCAGTGGGGAGGAGGGAGCAAGTGTGGCAGAGCAGGCGAGCAGCAAACTTGACAGAAGACCAAGGGCAGTGGGGAGAGTGGGCAAGTGTGGGAAGGGGAGGGCAGTGGAAGAGAATGTTAGGGTTGGTTCGCCCAACCACGGAACCTACGGCGAAAGCTTCTACGACGGCGGAATGACGGCGAAATGGAAGCACGTGGATGATTCTAGGTGAAACGGTGGAAATCGGCCTACGGTGGAGAATGGAAGCTACGGCGTGAGAAGCAAGAGAGAAATTGGGAAGAAACTAGAGAAATGGAGGAAGAAGAGTGAAGAAGTATCGAGATTGGAGTTGACAAGGGGAAATTGTGGTTCGAGACTGAGGCGTGTTCGAGAAGGTGCTGGATTCGGACTCGAGGAGTGTTCGGCGAATTCGGTTCGGTTCCGTGTGCGACTCGGGGTGAAACGAGGCGCACGCGGTTACTTGGGAAACAAGTGAAGTTACGAATCGCATTTTGTGACTTGCTTGACTATAAAACTGCTTGTACTCATTCTGGAAAACACAACTTGGAGATTCTGAAAATTGCTGAAGTGTGTATTGACAACTTCAAGCAGAGCTGCGCATATCATTGGATTCGTGAGATCGTGGAGAACACGATAAGCAATAGCAAGTAGACTATTGCCGACTAAGGTGTTTACGATCCTAAGAGAGAATGGGGGCCAGAGAGGTGCAATGCGGGGGAATGGGGGCTCAGCGTGTGGGGCATCCATGAGTGCAGCTTGAGCGAAGCAGGCAGCTACACAAGCCAAGCGCATGCCCAACAGCGCACCTTGAGGGTGCGCAGCAGCACAATGTGCGGGTTGACTTTTAAGTCAACTCAAAAGTCAACTCTCAACAGCTAGCCCAGCCATGTGCTTGCCCATGCCCAAGGGCGCACCTTGAGCGTGCGCAGCAGCACGATGTGCGGACGGCGGTTGAAGTAGTGTGCCACGTCAGCAGGGTCGTACTCGTACTGCAGCGGAACGCGCCAGCTCTCCGCCCACCACCGTGCCACCTCCCCCAGCGCGCGCACGTACCCCGCGTCCCCCACCAGTATCTCGCGCGCGCTCGCTCGCGCGGACGCTGCGCGGGGAGCACGGCGACGGAGAGGGGGAAGGGGCGGGGGAGATGTGGGGGGTGGTGGGAGGGGGATCGAGGCGGACGCGGACGTCGTGAGGGCTGGAAGATGCGGAAGCGGGCTGTGGCGTGACACGCGCTGTAACAGCGGGAGCGAGTGCGCAGCGGAATAGCGGGGCAAGACCTCAGCGGGATCGCTGTGCGAGTGCGCGCGCACCGGGGTATTGGGGCGGAAGTGGCGGCATGGGGCGGCGGACGGCGGTCTCGTCTTCGAGGAAGCGCAGCTCGACGACGTCGCGCACCCACCCCGCCCACGACCAGTGCGCAAGAAAGCTGTCCTCCTCCTCCTCCTCCTCTTCCATCTCCAAACCTGCTTCCTCCTTCGCCTCCGCCCTGTCGTCGTCACTTAACTCGTTTTTTCTCTCCTGTGCGCCCGTCTCTCTGGATTCCGCTGCTGGCCTCCGCGCCGATCCGTCCCCTCGCGCGGACTGCGCGGGTCGCTCCCCCGCAAGGCCCGCGTCTGTTCGTCTCTCGCTCGAGCCGCCCTCTGATGCCGTCGTGGCTTCCACAACCGGGCTCGCCCTAGCTTGACACGTGGCATCGAGCCGCGGAGATACCGACGGTTGAGGAAACGATGGACTAACGAGCGAGGGGTAATGGACCCCGCGCGTTCGGCTTCTACTCGCATTACTCTTTCGATTATCGCGGAGCGACGATGCCGCTACAGCAGACTGACATTGCCCATTCCGACGCTCCTGCGAGCAGCCTTCTAGTCGCGGCGCGGTCCCTCGTGGCTGGAGCGGATCCCATACTGATTGCCGCAATCGACGGCGCGGTACGAGCAGGCCGCGTGGTCCTATGAAAGGAGCGCGACTCACGGACAGCGTTACTCCGACGCGGTCGTGCATTGCGCTAGCGGTAGCGCGTGACGTGCTGCAGGCGATAGTATTATAGCAGGACTTGGCGAGGAAAGCGATGCGCGTTAATTGCGACGTATCAGTGAATATCTAGCCTTTCAATCGATCGTCACGGCTTCAGACTCAGCATGATCGAACAACCTCCTGTCATCGCTAACGCTGGAGATGCGTCATTTGCTCCTAAACTTCATAGCGCGCATAAGCTGCTGATTATGCTATTACGCACCATGCAGTTTCTAGACTTGGCAATGCAACCTCGACCGATGGAATCTAGGAGCCTACTGCGCAACGCGGGTGGGATGATGCAAGGCTGGCAGGCAGGACTGAAAGTTGTGGCGCGGCCTGACACGTGTCAGACGCGGGGAGGCACGAACTGCCATCGACCAGTCTGTTCCTCCTGATAGGGCATTGATAAATTTGATAAACGTGCTATTGGGTGTAGCACAACTCATATCTGCAGTGTTTGTACACAAAAAGTTACACTCTAACATATGAGCAAACAGCCCTCTCAAAACTATGGGACCTTGAAAAAACGTTTGATCGACATCTGGTTGCCAGCTTCAACAGCCTCACATTCCGTTTTCCTACGCTTAGGCGCCATTTTCGAACCCTTTGCTCCTTTAGCATGTCGTTTCGTTGGCACAGGAGATCCCACCTTGGAAGAATGACGGTCGCAGCAACAGGGGGAGCAGAAGCAGGAGCTGGTGGGTGCTGCTCGGACTGCGTGGAAGATTGAGACGCGTGGGCACGCATATCCTGGGGAAGAGGGGTCACAGGGAGCAGCTCTTCAACCACGCCTCTCTCACTGCGTTGCTCACCAGCACCCTCTTGTGTCTCATTGGCACTGGAACCACCCTTTGCTTGCTCCTCACTCGCCCCATCACCCTCATCAGCCCCTGCCCCAGCCTCCACCGGTGCTTCCTGCACCCCAGCCAGCTGTTTCTCCTCTCCACTGCCTCCCTCCTCGCCCTTCACTCTGTGCCCTTCTTCCAATGCACCTTCTCCTGCCTCCGCTTCCTGCTTGTCTACCCCTCCTGTCCCCACCGCATCAGTGGGTGGCGTCTTTTGTCTCTTGCGGGCAAAGAGCTGCGTGATTGGGGTGGATGAGAGCGCCGGCTTCAATGAAATCTGCAGCGCAGTGGGCAGTGGGAGAAGGGAGGCAACCAATCAGGATGCAGCAGACACACCAGTCCAGATAAAACAAAACAAATAGTGGTTAGAGGAACAACGCTGGCTGCCATCTGCTTCCTCAAAGCCCACCAGGCAACCAGTATTGGTGAGTCTACCCCCGTCCCCTTCCTCCACCCACCCATTCCCCCATCCCCCTCCTCCCTCCCGCCCATCCCTTAACATTCGCGTGGTCTCACCGGCTGCACGCACTGCGGGCCGTTGAAGGCCGGCTTTCCCACCTCTGGCGTCACAGCGTGCCACAACTGCCATGCGGGGGAGGTGAGCGGGGTTAAAAAGGGGAGGGGGAGACGGTGAACAAGATAAAGCCGTGCAAAATAGAGCGGAACGGACAGGCAGGCAGGCAGTCAGGCGGGCAGAGAAGGATGGGACGAGGGAAACAGCAGGAGAGTGGTATGGTATAGACCAGGTCGGGATGGTTGTAGGGCGAGCAGAGGTGGGTGATGGCGTCCGGCCCTGAGAGCTTGCCGTGCAGCCATGCGGCGACGTGGTGCTGTGATGGCAGGATGGCAGGCATGCGGTCTGATGGGGGGGGGAGGGGAGGGAGAGGGGGAATGAGCAGTGCACAGCAACAAGGGAAGGGTGAAGCTCAGAGAGAGAGCGAGGCATGGCAGGAGCACTCAGGGTGGGTAGGACGAAGGGGCGCGAGAGGAGAGGAAAGGAAGAAAAGTTTGGATGAGTGCTGGCTGGTGGAGGGCGTGAGAGGTCGCCTGCATTTGACAGGAAGGATGTGGCAATTCTTCTCACCAACTTTCACAGTCCTCTCACCATTTGCAAAAGTTGGTGGGCAGTGGCGAGTGGGATGGGGGTCTCACCGTGCAGCCACTGCAGGCGCTGTGACGATGCCGTTGTGACTATAGTGAAGGTGAATAGTCGCTCGCCTGGCGGTGGCGTGAGAAGATCATGACGAGCGAACGCCAGATGGGGTGTTGGGGGAGTGTGGGGGGGGATAACGAGATGCAGAGATAGGAGTATAAATGGGTGGAATTGAACGAGCCTCATGCCTGTGAAAGCACATTAACAGATGGGTGTGAGGAGTGCAGCAGTCGGCAAAGGGTATTGCTGTCCTCTCACCACCACATGTCGTTGCGCCGTGGGGTCTCGCCTCCACCCGTAGCATCGCCCCCTCCCCCTCACCCTCCACTCACCATGTTTCGCGTTTCCCCCTATCTCCCCCACTCACTGTGCATGTCTTACCCTCCCCCCTCCTCTCACCATATACGTTGCACCAGCAAACAGCCCCGCCATGCCATCACCAAAGGCGTTCCCCCGTTCCCCCCGCTCACTGTGCTTGGTGCCTCCCCCCCACCCCCACTCACCTTGCTTGTCATTTCCCCTCCTATCACCCTGTGCGTTGCGCCAGCAGTCAAACAACCCCGCCATCACCATGCTTGCCCTTTCCCCCCACTCACTGTGCTTGCTGTCTCTCCCCCCCCCCCTCTTCCTTACTGTCCTTACTCACCCTGTGCGTTGGTCCAGCAGTCAAACAGCCCCGCCATCACCATCGGCCTCCCATCGTTCATGTGGATGTAGAACGGCTGCTTCTTGGAACCTTCCTTCTTCCACTCGTAGAATCTGGCAGAGTAAGGAGGAGAAATAAGAATGCATCGCATACATGAATTACTGAAATGAATATCCGCATCCTTCCAACCCCCCTCGACCCTCTCACATCTCACCCCTTCTCATCCCTCCTCGCCTCCTCTCACCCCTCCCACCCCTGTATCTCACCCCTCCCACCCCTGTATCTCACCCCTCCCACCCCTGTGTCTCACCCCTCCAGCAGCACAATGCAGCGCTGAGAGGGCAGCAGGCGGCGGAAGGACGGCTTGGCGTGCAGCGACTCACAACGTGCGTTGAACTGGGGGGGGGAGGGGAGAGGGAATGTGGGGGGAGGGGAAGGAGAGGGGAAGGAGAGAGAGGGGAGAAGGCGGAAAGGAGGGAACGCAGGGAAGAGGAGAAAGCGAGAATTTGGGGGAAGAGGGACGGCGCATGACGAGAGTGAATCGCTGTGTGAAACGCTGTGAGGCACCTCACCACGTGCGTTGACCATCATCCACATTGCAAACTTCACAATCACCCAATCACCCCCACCACGCGCACCCACCATCATCCCCCCACCACCCTACCGTCACACCATGCGGAAGTGGTCGGGCGGCTGTGTCTTGCTGCAGAACGACGGCACCAGCCCCCACTTCATCACCTGCACCTCCACCTCCCCCCCCGCCTGCCCCTTCCGCTCCCCCTCCGCCTCCACCACCTGCCGCTTCCGCTCCTCCTCCGCCTGTACCCCTTGTTCTTCATCCGCCTGCTCTTGTTGCTCCGCTTCTCCCGCCTTCCCCCTCCCCCCTCCAATCTCCCCCTGCGCGCGCCCTTCCTCGTCCGCTTCTTCCGCCTCCGCGCATCTATCCTCCGCGCATTCCGCTTCCGCGGGGGCGAGCTTGGCGGAAGCGGAAGCAGCGTGCGGGGAGGCGGACGGGGCGGCGGAAGCGGCGGCGCGGACGACGGGCAGAAAGGTGCCGGGCGCGACGTTGAAGGATGGGCGGAACCTGCCGTAAGCGCGCGCAGCACAGACACGCGCGGGCGCAGAGGTGCGCACGTGCTATGAGTTGCGTGAAATGGTGCATGAGCCGCGCGGCGCGCTGAATAAGCGAACGAAACGACGCGCGATGCGACAACGAAGCGACGTGAGCGACGGCGGCCGGCAAACGAGACGAGCAGAGAGTAAAGAGAGGAAAGCAGGCAGCGCGGTGCGTCGTCTTCCGCGTGAGGCACGTAGCTTGCTTCATGGCAGATCGAGATTCGGGAAATATGGAGAGTGCATGTCGTCTGAAAACGAGAAGATGGAGGTGAGTGACACAGAGAACGCACAGATGCTGGTCGCGCCAGTTGGGCCGCGCGCCGGTCGCGCGCGTGACGGCGTCTGGCGACAGCGTGCAACGCGCGCGCCCGCACATCGCGGCGACGGCTGAATTGACCGCCTAGGAGGTAAAGATGGAGGACGAAATCGTCAACCGCGTTGGCTGAAAATCTAGGGAAACGGAGAACAGGAAAAGTGGAAAGGCGAAGCCGTCGCAGCCGTTTGTCAGTTTCAATTTTCAACCTGGGCGACGCGACTGCACACCACACCCCTGCCTAGTGTGATATCGTCACAGTGACGGCACGTCAGGGTAAGATTCGACTGAGACAAGTTGATGTTGCAGAATTGGCGCCAAGCCTTTTTTTGTGCCTGCGGCGGGGAAGCAGGGACGTGGATGGTGGTGGTGGTGACTGCCGCCCAGGAATATGATCCGCTGTAGAGGGATTCAGTGTGAATATTACAGCGGATATTCGAAAGACGCTCAAATGTCTACAGACTATGGTTTCGGGCTTCAGGCCCAAGTCGATATCATAAACCCCCGGTAAATCGAACTAACTTCTCAATGAATTTCCCACTCCTAACGCGTACAGCGAATTCTTTCTCTCGCCAGCCCCCTGTTTTCAGGCTCGCATTTGCGGCGTGCTCTGCCATTTTGTGGCCTGCTTGTGGCGTTCTTCCCGGGACCTGGCGTGCGGAACGGCGAGTGCGGAGAGGTGATTGGGCGGAAGAGCGCGTTGCGCGCGCAGATAGACCTTGCGGGTGCAGGTAATCTGTCGACCAGTGCGCGCACAGCGCTGGCGAGGACTCGTAGATCGGCGACAGTCTACGAGAGTCGTAGACAGTTGGCGATAGTCGGCGCGAATGTTGGCGAAATAACGTCGCGAGCGTACAAAATCAGGACGTATTGAGAACGTGCGACGACGCTGTAAAGCAGTCGGCGAGATCCATTCGCAGAAAAAAAAAACCACAAAAATACCGCAATCGTTCCCACTCAGTCCTCGTCCGCTGTCGCTCCTTCGCAAAACCTGTGTCAGTTTTCCCCCTCTTCTCCCCACTTCGCGCGGTCCCCTTCCCCTGCGCCAGGCGCGGTTCCATGGCGTCACGCGCGCAACAGCTGAGGGGAATCCTCGGCCGCACGAGGCGAGCGTGTTCCGCTGCCACGTCACGGGATTCGCTGCTCTCTGCCACGTGGCAGCTCGCGGTTGCGTCGGACACATCACTGTTAGCCACTAGGCCCGCGCATGGCGTGGCAGCCCCTTGCGCAGCGGGGAATGCCGCAGCAGCAGGCGGAGGAACAGGCGGAGCAGCAAGCAAAGCAGCAGCAGCAACGTTGTTACAGCCAGCGGAGGCCGTTGCTGTGCATCTACACCTGCAAGCATCCGCGCCTGTCGGTCTGCGGTCCCTGAGAGCCCTCGAGTGCATTCCCCCCCAGTCAGCCCTACTCCCCCATGCCGTCCCCCCGTCACCCGCCCACGCGCTGCTCTGTAAACCATGGGGGTCACAGCCTCAGCAGCCCCTGTTGGGATGGCCTCGTGTGCAGGTTGTGGGTGGGGGACGCATGAGTCTCAGTCCGCTAACCGCCGCTGCCTTTCACTCGTGCGCGCAGCCACAGCAGCTGAGCGCCGCGCTGTTTCTCCGCCTGCCACGTGGCATGCGGCCGTTGGTGCTGCGACCAGTGGAAGCAGCAACTGGAGTGCAGCAGGTGAGGTGGGGTGCGTGGGGTGGGTTGAGGTGTGCAGCAGGGTGAGGATCATCATGCTGATGATAGGTTTGAATTGCATGCAGGCAGGTACGAGTGTGACATTCCACGTGACAAGTCCACATTTGGCTCCATAATCCATGCCACGCCCCACCCTGCATGCCATGCCCCACCCTGCATGCCATGCCCCACCCTGCATGCCATGCCCCACCCTGCATGCCGAACCCAACCCCCTATGCTTGCCCTGCAGCAGCATCGGTGGTATGCCACACAGGGCAGCAGCAACAAAGACAGCGGCAGCAGCCGGCGGGAGGAGGAGGACGTGTTCAGCAGCATCACTGACAAGATCCCCGAACGCCCCGTCTCCGTCGCCATGCATGCCATGCCCCCAAGCCGCACACTGTACCCCCCCCCCCCCACTCCCCCCTCCCCACCTTCCCAATGCTTTCCCTGCAGCAGCATCGGTGGTATGCCGCACAGGGCAGCAGCCACAAGGACAGCAGCAGCAGTGGGAGGAGGGAGGTGGTGCGGCAGGAGGAGGAGGACGTGTTCAGCAGCATCACCGACAAGATCCCCGAACGCCCCGTCTCCGCCGCCGAGGGCGCGTCGTACTCAATCGTCATCCTCGCTGCGTTGGCTGTGGCGGCTGGGGCGGCGTATTTTGTTGTCAAGGAGCTGCTGCTGGAGCCCAAGGAGTGCGTGCCGGGCTGTGGGGGGGTGGTGTGTGGGGGGGAAAGAGGAAGAAGGCGGGAATGAGCGTGACTGTGCAGGGCGGCGTATTTTGTGGTCAAGGAGCTGCTGCTGGAGCCCAAGGAGTGCGTTTGCAAAGATGGGGAGGGGAAGTGTGGGGAAGGACTGGAGGGGTTGCGGGTCGCTTGCTTTGCATGTCATTGTGAAAGCATGTGCCTGCCAATTGGCCGTGAGAGGGGTGATGTACTTGGGTACTGCATGTTCATGCCTTGCACTGATGGACTCGTGTGCTTGCTATGCTGCAGATACAAGGTGTTCAATAAGGCCCTTCAGCGCGTGCAGAACGACCCTCAGGTGCGCCCCACATCCGTTTGCACACATCTTCTTCTGTGCACGCCTACAAAGCTGCACAAAACCTTCCGATCTGCGTTCCACAAATGCTTTCCCCGGTTTGTAGCACCTGCTTCAGCTGTTCTTTTCCCAAGCCCTCTCCTGCTGGATGCCTGCTAATTTCACACGCTTCCTCGTGCTCCTCATTACATGCCATGGATTTGAATCAACCTTGCATTGCCATGGCCGGCAGGTGATATCGCGGCTGGGGTCGCCCATCACGGGGTACGGCCAGGAGAGCAGGAACCGGGCGGCACGGCAGCGAATCAGCCACCGCGTGTGGACGGATGAAGAAGGGGTGGAGCGGATCCAGGTACACCTCGCATGCTAATATGCAAGATTTCTTGTTTCTTTCTTTTTTCGAGTTCGGTCCGGTCGCTCATTGTGGTGTCCCTCTGTGTTCCATTGCCCTGCCTGCCATCTTTTGTTGTGCTCATTTGTGGCAGGTTCAATTCCACATCCGAGGTACAGGGGGCACGGGCCTTGTGCACGCTGAGATGTTCAGAGACAGTGATGACGGCGGAGCTTGGAAGTTCACGTACCTTCTTGTTGATGTAATGAGCCCATCTCCAGCAAGGCTCATGTTGGAATCATACGTTCCAGCATGAGCGCATTATGTTTGTGACAGGTAGAGGTAGGTATCATGCTTGCTTGTAACATTAGAGGACCCCCCATCTAGAGGATAATGGAAATATGATGTAGTATGCAAAGCTCAGTGTAATAAATATCATTCTACGCTGGTGCGTTCTGGTGGTTGTTTCGGGTATGACCCGTTTATTGACCGCTACTCAACAACATCTACTCGCCACATTCAAATTGAGCACACTCATTCTGTGGCTGAAACAGCACCTGCCAGCCACCAAAACTCCTGGATTGACTCTTCTTCGTGTCGCTCTGGAATTTCGCCCCTCAAATTTTCAACAAACCCCGCCAAACCGGCATCTCGACCTGACAGTGCCACGGTGGCATCCCTGACCCCAATGCCAATGAAAATACCCGCGACTCGCTGGTGCTGTGAGTGTCTGTCGCCAGAGCAATTCGAACATCGCTTCCCCCTGGGCTGGTCGCGACTCGTCACTTCCCCCTCATCGCGACCCGGATGTGTGTAGCTCAGAGACCATCTTCCCCCATCTCTTCCGCCTGCCCCCCTTAGCCCTCTCATGATTGGCCCAAACATCCGCAGAAGCCCCAGTTTGGCAGGTCATTTAGGAGCAGTGGGGAACAGACCAGCGGAGAGTACAGGGACCAGAGGCATGGGCGCAAGCGATCAGAACGGCTTGGTGCGCGGATGGATGCCCGTCAGGCGTCGATGACGACATCAGGCGAGGCACGGCAGTCCCTGGGGCAGACAGAACAGGCAGTTGGGTTTGGGCTCAGACAGAACCCGCAGAGGCGAACAACGGAGCGCGTCGCTTGCGCTGTCGCCGTCGACTACTTTTGATGCTTCGAGAATTCGCAGTGCGACTGCTGCTGGTGGCGTGCTGTGTGGCGTCGTGGCCTTGGGCAGAGCGTATGCTCTCATCGCAGAGAAGCCATGGTCAGGACCACTCTTGGCAGCTCCCTAATGTGTACACACGCTTTGTGCTACATGTGAGATACAGTCAAGTCCACAATCTTGGACGATGTTTCCTCTGTAGGAGTAACATTGCTCGGTCAACGGAACCACCCATTTGAGACATGATATTAGAATTGCGAGTCATCCAGCTTTTTAATCTGTTTTTGCGAATTCCCTTCTAGTGATAACTCTAAGCAAGCAGTCTGGCTTGCGAATCTCTCTGCAGCGCCGCCGCTGGTCAAGCAGCGGTCGCATTACCAGACTCGTACGCCGTAGTTTCCTGAAAGCACCACGTTGGCTATTTAGGTGATGGGTCCTAGTATCGCCAGCCCGATTACGCTCCCCGTTCCGTCTATAGCGTCCGCCTGCAACGCTCCGCGCCCGCCGGGAGCGGGCCATAGCGACGCGCTTAGTCCTCTCCACGCCGCGTCGCTTGGCCCAGCCGCATCGCAGTCAGAGTCCATGGACGTGCGCGGGACACACGCTAGTGCTGACGTGGATCACGAGAGCAACGACCGATGGCAGCAGTGGCAGGAGGAGCGACAGCGGGAAACATCTAGCGCGCTCGAGCCAACTCCTAAAAGGCTACGCGGCTCGTACCGCTGCCGTCGCTGCGGCCAGCCTAAGAAAGGCCACGTGTGCCCGCTCACGTCACCGTCTCCCGCACCGCCGTACGCGCGTCGACCATGCCAGTCCAATCCGCACCACGCGAACACCCACTCCCATCCGCCCAACCCCTCTTCTTCCGTCGGATGCGGCGACCCCTCGTGCGGCGGCGCGTGCGGCAACTCCCGCGACTGTGGATTTGATTCACCCAGCGGGATTACCCGCGCGGACGTGCGCAAGCCCGCGTCGTGCAGCATGGGGAACATGCAGCCGCTGCGTCTCCCCGACGCCTCCGCCGGGCCAGCGGACTCCGCCAACGCCTACACTGCGGACGGCGGACGCTCCTCCGCGTGCCAGGGCGGGCCGAACGCGCATATAAGCCTCACTGCGCCCGCGCTCACCGCATCGTGCCGCAGCCTCCCCAGGTACTGAAGCAAAGTAGCGCGAAGTCCGCTATTGATCATGCAAGGCCGAGAATTTTCTATTCGCGCGCCCATAAGCTGGAAACGCTTCGCCGTTTTGCCATGTGTCCGTTCCACTCGTATCTTGTCCACGCTCAGGCAAAGCTGTAATTGGACTGAGCCTTACGGCTATTCTCCTCCCGTCTTCATAACCGCTCTCTCCCCCCATTCGGCCTCTGCTCCCGTCCCTCCCATCCGCCAGTCGCAGCGGCTTGTCGGACTCCAACTTCTCCTTCCCCGCCGCGCACACCCACGCGCACGGCAACGCGCACGGCGCCATCACCTCGAGAATGGCGCCCCACTGCGCCTCCCCGCACAGCCTTCCGCCGCTCTCCCATTCAAGCCTCCGCCCTGGTCCCCCCGGGTGAGTTCGCTGCTTCTGGTCGCGTTATTTCCACTCTCTATCTTCCTCCAGACAGCTCGAGTCAACTTGAGTCAACGCGGGACTGCTTGCCGGTGGATTCCCTGCGTGTATGCCTGCCTGCTGTCTTGTTTCGCATGTTCTGACGTCGCGCGGGGGTGTGTCGTGCAGGGCGAGCGGGTCGGCAGCAGCGGCATCCGCGCGGCCGGTGGTGCAGAGGAGTCCTCAGGACATGTGCATGCTCAACATCCTCGCTAAGGTACTAAATTCGCCTAACTAGTTAAATTTTCGCCATGTCCAATGGCAAGACTTCAGCCGCTCTCCCTCAGCCGCCCCGCGCCCTCTCTTCGCTCATCCCAATTCCCCGTGCCCCTTCCCCCTCCCCCTTGCCCCTCCCTTTTTTCAGCTGCCCCCGCGCGACCTACTGAGCGCGAGCAGCTGCTGTCGGCGGTGGCGGCGGCTGGCGGCGGAGATCTGGGGCAACGTGGAGGCGGCGGCGCTCTCGCTTGACGCGACGCCGTCGCTCGCGACGGACGCGCTCGTCTACGTGCCCTTCATGCTGCGCCGCTGCCCGCGCCTCGTGCACCTCTCGCTGCAAGCCGCCAGGTACGACCTCTCTGGTCGCGACTCGGCTCGTCTGGTCTCGCCTCGTCTTGTGGCGATGCTGCTGTGCTGTTCTCTCGTCTCCTCTCCTGGTTCAACTCCATCCAGTTCCTTCTGCTCCCCGTGACTGTGGTTCTCACGCCGCTCCTCCTGCTCTCGTTCCTCTTCTCCTGCTGTTCCTTTGTCGCCAGATGCGTGGACGATCGCCTGCTGCATCGCATAGCCGCCGAGCAGCCGAATCTGGAGTCGCTCGTCATTCGCACGGCACCCAACGTCGCATGCCACGTCACAGAGTGAGTTGATCGTCTGACACCACGTTGAGGAGTGACCTGATTCACTTGCGGAACAGAATTCTCATAGCTTTCGCCACTTGTGTGACCCCGTGCTGTCTCCGCTCCTCGGCTCACCCTCTCCCCATCCTTCTCTCCACTCTGTCTCTCCCCCGCCTCCCCCCCTCTTCTCCTCACCCGCTTCCCCTCCCCAGCAACGGCATGGCGGCGCTGCTGCATGGGTGCGCGTCGCTGCGCGCCGTGGATATGGACGGATGCATCGCGCTGCCGTCGCTCACCGTCGCCTCGCAGTCGTAAGCGTCCCGTCTCCCGTCGCAGTTGCCCGTCGCAGTCGCACCACTCGCCAAGCCATGCCATATCATCACACCGTGCCACGCGTGGTGGACTGTTCGGCTTGCGCGCACCACCCCTCAACAGTCCACTCGCTGCCACACCATCACGCTCGGGTGTCTTTCTTCTTGCCCTTCTCTCCCTTCTCTCTTGCGGACTCCGCGTTCAACTCACACTCCTCTTCCTCGTCTCCATCCCCTCTGTCCCCCCTCCTTCCGCCTCCCCCAGCTTGACGGCGCTGACTCTCTCCGCCTGCGCGCGCCTCTCGCGCCTCTCCCTCGCGTGCCCCGCGCTGCAGCGCCTCTCGCTCTCCCTCCTCCCCGCGCCCGCTCCGCCCTCCGCCGCTCCGCCCGCGCGCACGTGCTCCCAGACGCACGCGCACGCTAGCGCGCAGATGAGCGGAGATCCCGCGCACGCGGAGGCGGTGATCAGCCACGTGGCGAGCCTTGCGGCGCCTCTCGAGCGTCTGCACATCGCGTCACCTTACACCACCGACGCGGTACGCGCTTCCAGCTCTCGTTGCACACGCCGCGTCGCATGCTCGCAGTGTGCGCTGCTGCGAGGGCGGTGCCGTCCTCCTCGCGCCTTCCGCCGCACTCCTTCTCCGGACGTGCGCTCATCTCATGCCACCTGCTCCTGCCAACCCTCCACTATTCGTCCCCTCGCCCACTCATCCCCTCATCTCCTCGTCTCCTCTCGTCTCTTCTCGTCTCATCCCCTCGTCTCTTCGTCTCCTCGCGTCTCATCCCCTCGTCTCCTCGCGTCTCATGCAATGCCGTGTGAGCGCAGATGGTGGCGGCGCTGGTGCGCGCACACGGGCAGTCGCTCTGCGCGCTCTCCATCACGCACTCGCTCTCGCTCACCGATGGTACACCCACTCGCCCTCCCCTTCCCCTTCCGCCCTCAATCTCTCTCGTTTCGCCTTGCATCGCGTTCTTCCGCACCCACCCATTCCCGCTCATGCGTCCCCTCTATATCCCCCGTGCGCCCGTTGCCCGTCTCCCTCTCCCCCATGCGCGCGCATCAGAGGGCGTGGCGAACATCTGTCGCGCCTGTCCGCATCTGCAGCACCTGGACCTCTCCGCCTCGCCCAACCTCTCAGACGCCGCCCTCCACGCCATCAGGTGCGGCTTTGCTGTTGCTCTCCTTTGCTATGTGCACTCTCACCCTGCCTTTCTCTCTCTCCCTCTCCGTTCCCTCTCTCATGCACAATACACTCATCAATCTCCTCCTTATTCCCCTTTTTCTCTCCCCTCCTCTCTTCCCCCACACCAGCGCCTCGCTCTCTCACTCCCTCACACACCTCCTCCTCGCCGCCTGCCCTGGCATCACGCCACGTGGCGTGCAGGCATTGGTGCAGCGCCTGCCCAATCTGGAGCTGCTAGACGTGGGGCGGTCGCTGCTCCCCCGCGCCCCCTCGCCCTCCCCCACCCTCGCCAGCGCCGCCAGCACCACCTCCGCCATGGGCGCAGGGGGCATGGCGGACGGGTGGAGGGGGAACGGCAGGGGACAGTGGGGGGACGCGGGGGGCGATTATCAGGGGGAGGTGGGGATGGGGATGGATGGGGGAATGGGGGGAGCGGGGGGTGAAGGCAGCAACGGATACATGGGGGGTGGGGAGGGCAGTGGTATGGGGGCATCAAGCGCAACAGGCACGGCAAGAGGAGTGGCGGCAGGAGGGGAGGGGCGGCGGTTAGAGCTGCGCAGCAGCAGCCTGAGGAAGCTCAGTCTCTGGGGCTGCTCTCTGCTGCAGGTGAGGGGTGACTGCTTGCTTCAAGGGGTGACATAAAGGGATCTCAGGCTCGTGCCATGCTGCTCCGTGCGCTGCTGATCAGCACTTCATGCTGCAATTGGACAAGCATGGAGCCCTTGACTTGGTTCTATCCTCCCCTCCCATGCCCCCTTCCCTCCTGTGCCCCCCCCCTCCTCTGCCTGCCCCTCCAGACGCTTGTCCTCGACTGCCCGCAGCTGGAGCACCTTAATGTGAACTCCTGCACCGCACTGCACCCATCTGCCTACGGCTGCCGCCTCAACTGCCCGTCGCTGCGGTTCATCCTGGCCGTTGGATGCCCCGTGTCGCCCCACACCCTTCTGCGCGCGGCGTGCCTTGCAGACCAATCCCCATGCATGGGCGATGGCATGGGGGATGGTATGGGGGATGGTATGGGTGATGGTATTGGGGATGGTATAGGTGATGGTATGGGTGATGGTATGGGGAATGGTATGGGTGATGGCATGGGCGATGGTTATGGGGATGATATGGGTGATGGCATGGGGGATGGTATGGGGAATGGCATGGGCGTCTCTCCCAACACTTGCTTGGGCGATGACATGGGGGTTGGCATGGGCGATGACATGGGGAATGGCATGGTCAATAGCATGGGGAATAGCATGGTCAATAGCATGGGGAATGGCGTGGGTCCATCTCAAAGCGGGTATGTGGGAGATGGCATGGGGAATGGCATGGATCCATCCCTTGGCTCATATGTGGGAGATGGCATGATGCATGCACAACCAAGTGCATGGCAACCCCCTTCCCACACGCAGACGGGGAATGGCATGGTAAATGACATGGGGAATAGCATGGTAAATGACATGGGGAATGGCAGCGCATACTGCAACACAGATACTGATGGCATGGCAGGGACTCCGTCTCACATGAACATGCAGACGCAACCACACATGCACCCACATGCACACATGCACATGGGAGGGCAGATGCAGCAGCAGGGGCAGGTGATGGTGTGGGAGTGAGGAGCTGGTGGAGCTACTTTCATACTAGGTGGCTGGAGTTTTATTACTGAAGCACTGACAAACATAGATCGGTAGGAAGAGTAGTTGGTGCAGCAGTGAGTGATGCGGATAGCCAATACGGTGGCACGCAAGAAGAATAAATAGGCTGGGTGTATTTTTAGAAGCATATGGCTTTGGTTTGGTGCTATACTGCATAGTGCAGGAAGGAATGCTTCTGTAGGGAACTAGGCATTAGCTGGTCGTACCTAAGTGAAAGGTAGTTGCTTGCTGCCATCCATCTTCTAGTTTATGAAATATCAAATTTCTTTTCTTTCAATCTGAACACTAAGTGTTCTTCACAAGGATTATTGTTCTACTCTATACCTATTCCACCCTGTCACTTCACATGTGAGATTATGTTGAAACTACTGCAATGCATGTAACCTATGAAAGCATCAATAACTCAGGAAGCTTATACACGACTCAGCTTGCCGGTAGTACTGTCATTGCCCGGATATAAGACATATATCTCTTATCTCGTACACTGGCAAAAATGCTTGGGTTGTCTTGTATTTGGGACGGTTTAGGGTGTCTTATAAGTCTTATAAATGGGCAAAGAACCGTTTAGAAGATACCCCCTTGTTATACAATTGCCCCTAACCCCTTACACTGGCTTAACTCGTACACACAAATAGGTGTCTTATAATGAGGCTACCCCGTCTATAAGAGACACCCGGATAATAGACACCCCTTGTCTTCTATTCAACAATGTCTTATATCCGGGCGATGAGATGAAGGTACATGTTGCACAGAAATGCAACACAACACAGCACAGCTCCCGGTGCAAACACACAGGAACACGCGAACATGGGAACCATGAGATTAGCATCGGCTGATTAGCACTCAGATTGGCATGCCATTTCTGTTTCCATCAGATCTTTTCAAATCACTCGCACCCCAAATACTACCAAACACCATCAAATTGGCCTAGACTGCACACAGCAAGCAGCACCTCAAAAGGCCTGCGTGGTGCATGTTCGGGGAAAACCTGTTCTGCGGAGAGCTTTGGGTTGCGGATGAGTGGAAGCAGGGGGATCTGCCCAAGCGTTGAATGGGCAGGAGATAGTTTGTGTGATGCTGAACTGCTGTGCTGCAAGACACATACGGTATGGTAGTAAAGAGGGGGGGGAACACTGAGTAAACTATGGTGAAGTTGTTAGCTACGATTGATATGCACCATGCCATGTTAGCACAAACTCTTGTGACCTTGTTCCTCTTCATTGTGAACGCTTCTTTGCTGCTTTCCTGGCAGCTTCCTCTGCCTCGTGGGCCTGCGATGTGAGCATGGGGTTGAGTGAGGGACCATTAAGATGAGTGAGCAAGATCACGGGTGAGTGAAAAAATAAAGGTGTGTGAGGGAGGATGGTGAAAATTTGAGGGAGGATGGTGTTGAGTGAGGGAGGGTAAAGAAGAATGAGGGGGGATGAGAGGAAGGGCAGTGGGATGGTTTGGGCATGAGAAATAGCATGGCAGGGGAAACAAAGAGATGGGAGGTGGGGGAAATAATGGAAGGGACTGCGGGAGAAGTACGACGGGTGAGGGGGAGGTGACGCAAAAATTGCAGGGGGGATGGCGTGAGGGCATGGATGGAAACAAGTGCTTAAGGAAATTACTGAGATGGAAATGTGCCCCACATGCCCCTCCACCTGCATACACTGTGCCCCACATGCCCCTCCACCTGCATACGCTGTGCCCCACATGCCCCTCCACCCGCATGGTGCCTGGCGGGCCACGCAAGCCCTGCATCAAACATGCCCCTCGGCCTTGCTCTGGGAACACTCTGAACGGCTGAGAGTTGGAGAGGGTTGGAAAAGATCGGAGTGGGGAGTGTGGAGAGAAGGGGCTTGGAACATGACCGTTGGAGAGTGGTGATCGAGAATGCGTGCATCATGGAATGGCGTGCGTGGCATGGAAGACGAACAACATTCACATGCGCACAGCATTCACATGCGCACAGCATTCACATGCTCACAGCATTCACATGCGCAGTTGGAGGCGATCAGGTGCAAAAGCTGTCACATCCAGTCACATGTGGCCCGATGCCTCGAGGACAATGCAGCAGCTGCGACCAGCTAGGGCACACAATGCTGCGACCAGCTAGGGCACACAATGCTGCGACCAGCTAGGGCACACAATGCTGCGACCAGCTAGGGCACACAATGCTGCGGCGCAGCTGCCGTTACGCATGAAATGACCCGCACCACTTACCTCATCTCCATACCTTGTGAAGTCAAGTTGGCGCCCGCGGGATAATGTGCACCGCTGCCACGTCACCATACTGCTCCACCACGCTGGCACTTGCTGCGAGTGTGGATCGTGAAGGGAAGGGTGGGCGAAGGGGGAAGAGTGTAGGGAACACAAGGGAGAGTGGAGGGGATGAAGGCAGGAACGATGTGAATGGCAAGTCGGGAGTTTGATGAAGATGCAGAAAGAGAGTGGGGAGGAGTGGGGGAGTGGAGGGTGAGGCGAGGCGCATGGCAGGAGGGAGTGCATTGCTGCACGGCGGAGCAGTGGAGGAGCGAGCGGGCGAAGCGAGTGGGAGTGGGCGCCGGGTGAGCACACAGTGCACGGGGCAGACGGGTTGGGAGTGGCTGCAACGCAGGCCGGAGAGCATGTGGAGCAGCAGTGGTGGCAGCACGTGGAGCACACAGGGCAGATAGGTTCGGAGCACACAGGGCAGCGCGAGGAAGGCTAGTGATTGAGAATTTGAAACTTGAGATCATCTTGAATTGCGTGGAACGGAAGGCGGGACAAATAATCGCGCGCGATCAGAAACCGGGGACATAGTAAGCTCGCGATCGGTTAAGGCACCCACGAAATCGGGTTACTACTCGAGCTAGTTCTGGGAAAGCAGACCAGCGACGATTAGGGTGAATGTTGCGAGTCGGCCTACAATCGAAGAAGCATCTGCGTTGCGTCGCCATCACGTCCGCGATCTGCGCTCGTGGCGGTGAGGTGGATTGAAGTGCAGCTGAATGGGTTTGGGCGACGGCGAGTGTGGCTTCAAATGTTCTGATCTGATCTGCACTGCATACTACCAAGGTGCAGTACGGTAGCACGCAATTCAAAATGGCGGACGGGTGAAAATGAAACACGTGCTGGGAGGGTTAGGCTGAGTTGGGTTCGGTTGGGTGACCCTTTAAAGCCAGGGTCTCAAGTAGTTCAAGTGCTTTGCAGTCGACGGAAACAGGGGTGTTCTGATTGGCTGACGAATCTGAAACCAAACTGAAGTGCAAACGAGTCTCGCCACCGAACATTCATTTCGCAACACAAACCAGCACGTCAATTTGTGACGACGGATTTGTTGTCGCACGCCTAAACCAGCCCAAGGGTCAACTGTTTTGCACAATTACGAGCGATGCATGAGACAACACACTCACCCACCAGCAGTGGACCTAATCAGTACATACGCCGGGGAGACCGTGTGGTGGTGGTAAGGCGACGACGAACAGGCTCGAGTACTGATCGAGGTAAGTGGTGACACCAAGGACAACATACGCTCTTCACAAATAGTAATGGGTTTAGGTCAGCCACCGATGGCTTCAAGCAGCAAGGAGCGATGCAGCACAAATCTTCGTGTGACAAGACGCCATCAGATGCGGAGTGAGCCGGGCTTACGAAATCACATACGACAGTCGCCACGGCTTACAGGAACACGCGCAACGCGATTAGGGATGGGAAGTAGTGTTCATAGGGGAACACAGCGTGATCTATCACAATCCGCGTACGCAACAGGTGACGAGGTAGTGACGCTAACTCGCCCGCACAGTGGCGTCACACAGCAGGCTGCGCAATTAGGGAATCGCATTCCTAACTGCCATTACGGGGCGAAATTGCACCACGCGGCGCACACCAATCGCACTCCAAGGACGCAGCGGAATGCGTACACTGCTCCCCCCGTCTCATCCAGGCCTCGATCAACCCGCTCCACACTGCTTTCATCACCACATGAATCGCCAACGGGCATGTATCAACCTCGTTGCCACTGACGGTCGTACCGCTAACGAACAGTTTGCCATCTGCGCACGATCGCTTGTGCCTGTGATCGAAATGGGAGAGTCCTCGCACTTCAATGTCCGACTACGTGTTATAATTGAGACTGTGGTCACCCCCAAGGGAGACGGACAGGGAGGTAACCCCTGTAGCATAGCAAAGCAGTTTCGACCTGGATCCAACAGGTAACTCGTCCTTATCTCCTCCTAATCTCCTCTAGGCTGAGCTTAGGCTAGTAGGGATTGAATAGGTAAGAAAATTTTCATTCAAACCTGAGCGTACGCGCGTTTCGGCCGGTGGCCTTCATCAGCGCTACCTGTTGGATCCAGGACGAGTTACCTGTTGGATCCAGGTCGAAACTGCTTTGCTATGCCCCAAGGGAGACGGACAGGGAGGTAACCCCTGTGACTCTTAGCCCCTCACCTCCCACGCCCCGCTGCTCCCCCGTTGTGCACCACGCTTGCTCCCACGCCCCGCTGCTCCCCCGTTGTGCACCACGCTTGCTCCCACGCCCCGCTGCTCCCCCGTTGTGCACCACGCTTGCTCCCACGCCCCGCTGCTCCCCCGTTGTGCACCACGCTTGCTCCCACGCCCCGCTGCTCCCCCGTTGTGCACCACGCTTGCTCCCACGCCCCGCTGCTCCCCCGTTGTGCACCACGCTTGCTCCCACGCCCCGCTGCTCCCCCGTTGTGCACCACGCTTGCTCCCACGCCCCGCTGCTCCCCCGTTGTGCACCACGCTTGCTCCCACGCCCCGCTGCTCCCCCGTTGTGCACCACGCTTGCTCCCACGCCCCGCTGCTCCCCCGTTGTGCACCACGCTTGCTCCCACGCCCCGCTGCTCCCCCGTTGTGCACCACGCTTGCTCCCACGCCCCGCTGCTCCCCCGTTGTGCACCACGCTTGCTCCCACGCCCCGCTGCTCCCCCGTTGTGCACCACGCTTGCTCCCACGCCCCGCTGCTCCCCCGTTGTGCACCACGCTTGCTCCCACGCCCCGCTGCTCCCCCGTTGTGCACCACGCTTGCTCCCACGCCCCGCTGCTCCCCCGTTGTGCACCACGCTTGCTCCCACGCCCCGCTGCTCCCCCGTTGTGCACCACGCTTGCTCCCACGCCCCGCTGCTCCCCCGTTGTGCACCACGCTTGCTCCCACGCCCCGCTGCTCCCCCGTTGTGCACCACGCTTGCTCCCACGCCCCGCTGCTCCCCCGTTGTGCACCACGCTTGCTCCCACGCCCCGCTGCTCCCCCGTTGTGCACCACGCTTGCTCCCACGCCCCGCTGCTCTCCCGTTGTGCACCACGCTTGCTCCCACGCCCCGCTGCTCCCCCGTTGTGCACCACGCTTGCTCCCACGCCCCGCTGCTCCCCCGTTGTGCACCACGCTTGCTCCCACGCCCCGCTGCTCCCCCGTTGTGCACCACGCTTGTTCCCACGCCCCGCTGCTCCCCCGTTGTGCACCACGCTTGCTCCCATGCCCCGCTGCTCCCCCGCTCTAACGCTCCCCTGTGCCCTGCCCACGCTCCCACTCCCCCTCCTCTCCGCTACCACTCCCCTTCCCCCGCGCTTTCACTCCCCTTCCCCCACCCTTCCATTCCCCCTTCCTTGACCCTTCCACTCCCCGTACCCCACTGTTTCACTCCCCATCCCCCACTGTTTCACGCCCCAACCCCCACTGTTTCACTACCCAACCCCCACTGTTTCACGCCCCAACCCCCACTGTTTCAATCCCCATCCCCCACTGTTTCACGCCCCAACCCCCACTGTTTCACTACCCATCCCCCACTGTTTCACTACCCATGCACCCATGCTCCCCTGCACCCAAACATCCACACCCCTTCCCCCACGCTTCCCCTCCCCTTCCCCCACGCTTCCCCTCCCCTTCCCCCACGCCAAAACTTCCCTTCCCCCACACTTCCACACCCCATCTTCCAATGTTCCACTCCCCATCCCCCACCGTTACACACCCCTTCCCCCTCCTAACTACTCCCCTTCCCCCACGCTTCCACCCCCCATCCCCCACTGTAGACTCCCCATCCCCCGCTGTTACACACCCTTTCCCTCTCGGTTTTACCATGCTTCCCACGGGTTCCACTCCCCATCCCTCACTGTTCCACTCCCCATCCCCCACTGTTCCACTCCCCACCCCCCACCGTTACACTCCCCTTCCCCCACGCTGCCACTCCCCTTCCCCCACGCTGCCACTCCCCTTCCCGCAATCTTCCAGTCCCCTTCCACCACGCTTCCACTTCCCTTCCCCCACGATTCCACTTCCCTTCCCCCACGCTTCCACTTCCCTTCCCCCACGATTCCACTTCCCTTCCCCCACGCTTCCGCTCCCCTTCCCCATTCGGTCCTCTCCCCCCATCTCATTGCGCATCTCCCATCCCCTCTGATCTCACTCCTTACTCCGGTTCCCTCACGCTTCCACTTCCCTTCCCCCACGCTTCCACCCCCCTTCCCCATTCGGAACCACTACCCCTTCCTCCACGCTTCCACTCCCCTTCCCCCACACTTCGAAATCGGCAACTTCCACTGATTCACTCCCCTTCCCCCATTGCTTCACTCCCCTTCCCTCACTGTGAGAGTGCGGAAAAGGGGGGAATGTGAGAGTGCGGAAAAGGGGGAATGTGAGAGTGCGGAACAGGGGGGAATGGGAGAGTGCGGAAAAGGGGGAATGTGAGAGTGCGGAACAGGGGGGAATGGGAGAGTGCGGAACAGGGGGAATGTGAGAGTGCGGAACAGGGGGGAGGGTGGGAGTGCGGAACAGGGGGGTATGTAAGTGTGCGGAACAGGGGGAATGTGAGTGTGCGGAACAGGGGGGATGTGAGTGTGCGGAAAAGGGGGAATGTGTGAGTGTGGAACAGGGGGAATGTGAGAGTGCGGAACAGGGGGGAATGGGAGAGTGCGGAACAGGGGGGAGTGGGAGAGTGCGGAAAAGGGGGAATGTGAGAGTGCGGAACAGGGGGGAATGGGAGAGTGCGGAACAGGGGGAATGTGAGAGTGCGGAACAGGGGGGAGGGTGGGAGTGCGGAACAGGGGGGAATGTAAGTGTGCGGAACAGGGGGAATGTGAGTGTGCGGAACAGGGGGAATGTGAGTGTGCGGAAAAGGGGGAATGTGTGAGTGCGGAACAGGGGGAATTTGAGAGTGCGGAACAGGGGGGAATGTGAGAGTGCGGAACAGGGGGAATGTGAGAGTGCGGAACAGGGGGGAATGGGAGAGTGCGGAACAGGGGGAATGTGAGAGTGCGGAACAGGGGGGGAGGGTGGGAGTGCGGAACAGGGGGGTATGTAAGTGTGCGGAACAGGGGGAATGTGAGTGTGCGGAACAGGGGGAATGTGAGTGTGCGGAAAAGGGGGAATGTGTGAGTGCGGAACAGGGGGAATTTGAGAGTGCGGAACAGGTGGGAATGTGAGAGTGCGGAACAGGGGGGAATGGGAGAGTGCGGAACAGGGGGAATGTGAGAGTGCGGAACAGGGGGGAGGGTGGGAGTGCGGAACAGGGGGGTATGTGAGAGTGCGGAAGAGGGGGGAATGCGAGAGTGCGGTGCGGTCCAGGCTGGACTGTGAGAGTGCGGAACAGGGGGGAATGTGTGAGTGCGGGTGAGGGGGTATGTGAGTGGGCCAGGAAGGGGTATGCGAGAGTGCGGGACAGGCCTGAATGAGGGAGGGCGGAATAGGAGGGAATGAGGGAGGGCGGGATAGGAGGGAATGAGAGAGTGCGGGATAGGAGGGAATGAGAGAGTGCGGGATAGGAGGGAATGAGACTGTGCGGGATAGGAGGGAATGAGAGAGCGCGGGAGAGGAGGGGATGAGAGAGTGCGGGATAGGAGGGAATGAGAGAGTGCGGGCGAGGAGGGGATGTGAGAGTGCGGGATAGGAGGTAATGTTAGGGTGCTGGGCCCGTGGGAATGGGAGAGTGCTGGCCACGAGGGAATGTGTGAGTGCCTATGACAGGCAGGTGGGTATGCGAGAGTGAGCGACAGGGGGGAATGTGAGAGTGCGGAACAGGGGGGTGAGCGAGAGTGCGGGACAGGCGGGAATGTGAGAGTGCGGACCAGGCGGGAATGTGTGAGTGCGGACCAGGCGGGAATGTCCAGATATGCGCGGCGCTGTCCAGATATGCGCGGCGCTGTCCAGATATGCGCGGCGCTGTCCAGATATGCGCGGCGCTGTCCTGATATGCGCGGCGCTGGCCTGGTTTGCGCGGTGCTGGGTCATTTGCGTGATAGGCATTCCCGTCTAGCGTATGCTTTTGTCCGAGATGCTCGGCATCAGCCCTTGTTGTATTGCACTCCCCTTTCGGCGGTCTTTTTTTTATGTCCAGCAATGCATGCTTGGCGCGATATGGGACCTCCTTCCGCTGGAACGCGCACGCTCCTGCGGATGTGCACGATGCTGGTCGCGAACTCGGTCAGGGTCGTCGCTCTGTGATGGTGTATCCCAGACTTTAGGCTAAGCTTGCCTACTCGTCGTGTCGTTGCCTACCTGCACGTTGGAACCTTGGTTTTCGGTCATTGCGCGACTGTGGGCTGCTTCGTGTGCATTGCGCCTACGGCGCCTCCCGTGGCGCATTGTTGATTCCCCGCCTTGGTCTGGACGAATTTCGATGTGTTTATCGCGCGGGGTAGTGGAAAGGACGTGTGCGCGTCGGGACGGTCGTTAGTAGTTTGTGTGCTTGGGTTGCTACGCCTAGTGTGGCAGTGCTTGTTGTGAAGTTGCATTTGAGTGTGTTTGTGGTTGAGTGTGCGTGCGACCAGTAGTGTTGGGCGTCAGTCGCTTGGTGTGTTTTGGGTGTCGCAAGGTAGGTTTCCGTACTTCCAACCAAACCCCCGCGTCGTTTTGAGTCACAAGGTAACCACTTCAATCAAGTGCTTTGCAGTTGTTGCCCAAAGTTTTACATGAGACCCTGGCTTTAATCCTGAAATTCCTGCCCGCGTCCCAAATTGGTTTTTGCTCGCGTACTGACTCTCCGTCGACAAATCACAGCATCATCTTAGCTATCGAATGCCTTCCTGCCGTGCCGAGTCAGTTCTTAGGTATCCATCAAGTGATGACAGACTGGCGACGATGCTAATAGAAGTGTCATAGGTGATTCGTGACTGCTCGCCGCTTGGCCGCAATAGCGCGTTAGCCGCGCAACGGTAAGGCGCGGTCGCGATGGGGCGCGCGGTGGTGGCGGACGAGGCGGCGATCCAGCGCCACGTGGACAAGCTCTTCCGCGAGAAGGCGACATGGGAGGTACGACGCGACGCGGCAGGAGGTCATAGCGATGTAGGCACGGTAGGTGACGGAAGTCCGGCGAGATGTAGGCATTCGCACTGCGACGGATTCCGGATCCTATGCTCGTTCAGGCAACGTCAAACTGCACGGAGTTTACATTGTGGGACTTACTACTGGCAGTGAGAGCCCCGTTTGCTCCTTAATGCGTCCCAAACGGAATCGATCTGACGTTATTTCTTCGTACTGTTCTTCCATTCCCATGTCTCTCTCCGCCCACCAGCTGGGTCTGCTCATCGGCCGCTCCAGCATCGCTTCTCAATCGTCCTCCTCCTCCTCCTCTTCCGCCGCCGCCGCATCCGGCGCCTCCCGCGAAATCCTCTTCGCGCTCGTGCCGACGCCCGAAGCGCCAGGAGCGGCGGCGCCAGTTGCGGGCAGCAGAGAGAGGAGCGGATCGGATGCGAGGGAGTGGCGGCATGTGGACGGCGACTGGGTGGCGGAACACGCGCTGCAGGTGAGCTGGTTACCACGTGAGCTGGTTACCATGTGAGCTGGTTACCATGTGAGCTGGTTACCATGTGAGCTGGTTACCACGTGAGCTGGTTACCATGTGAGCTGGTTACCACGTGAGCTGGTTACCACGTGTGAGTGTCCTAAGTCTTTCCGAGGCAGAAAACTTACCCTTCAAGTGAAGCGTCCTCACTTTGTGCCTGTGATCATCATCTTTCCGCCTCTCCCCGTCGATTATTCTCTCCTCGGTCCCCCCTCCGCTCGCCATCCCTCGCTTTCTCCATCCTTGACCCTCCCTGGTCTCAACTCCCATCTCCTGCTCCTCCTAGCTGCCATGCATTCCCTCGCATGCGCTGCCAGGGCAGTCCCTCCCTCCCTGCCATGTGCATGAATGGGTCGTGTCGTCTGCTTCACTCCTTGGGCTCCGCCCGTCTCCCCCTGTTCACCCTGCTGCACTGCAGGTACGGCCGCGCCTGCGTCTGGTACGTGCAGACGGCAGGCGCGTCTGGGCTGCACGACGGTCATGCAGATGCATGCATGCCGTCACACATGTGCCGCCTGCACTCCCCTCGCCCTGCCTGCATCACCGATTTCCTCCCTCCCATCTCTCCTGCTGCAGGTGTCACGGCTGTTGCTGGGAGGCATGGGCGTGCTGGGAGTGTATGCTTTCGTGTGTCGCCTGCAACGCCTTGCTCCCCTCACCCTGTGTAAGCTATCTCCCCCCCTCCTCATCCCCCTCTGCAACAGGTGTCACGGCTGTTGCTGGGAGGCATGGCCGTGCTGGGAGTGTACACCTTCTGCTCCGATGCCGCCTATAGCAACGCTGCACCCTCCTTGCTGCAGGTACGGGTGCCCTCCTTGCTGCAGGTACGGGTGCCCTCCTTGCTGCAGGTACGGGTGCCCTCCTTGCTGCAGGTACGGGTGCCCTCCTTGCTGCAGGTACGGGTGCCCTCCTTGCTGCAGGTACGGGTGCCCTCCTCGCTAACTGCATGGCAGAGCGCTCCTTTGATGTTCACAAGTGAATCAGTCGCTGTGCTGTGCGGTGCCATCCATCACCATGTCTTCTTCTAATGCCTCATGCATGCTACTTGCTTGCTGGCTGGCTGGCGTGCGGGATGCCATTCAGCGCGGTTGTACAGCTTTCCCATTAGCAATTCCTTCTTGTCTCACCTCACTTCCTTCATCCCTCTGTCTCCCTCCCCTCTCCATCCATCTCCACCCCTCTCCACCCCCTTCTCCTCACCAGGCCCTGCGTTCGCTTGCAACCTCACTCTCTCCTCCCGCCTCACTCGCCGCCCTGCTGCCCCCTCTCCCCACCGACCTCATTCTGCTGCACATCTCCTCCTTCTCCCGCCGGTCAGATGCCTTTATAATAGTCCCAGGCCATGCCGTGTCATGCCTTACGGCTTGCCATTTTACATGCCCCATTCTTCAGGTCTCCTCAGTCCCCTTTAACACACGTTTCAAATCCCTCTCCTTGTTACCTCCTCACGTTTCCTCAGGTTCTCAGCACGATCTGTCGCCACGTCATCACCTGCCACGTCAGCTGCCATGTCACCGTGCGACTTCAAGCTCGCTGCCATCCCTTCACCAATCCTCGTCTCCTCAACACTCTCCCTCCATGCCCAGTACGCCTCTCCCTCTCCTGACCCTCCCTTCCCCCTTTTCTCTTTTCACTCACCCCTTTCTACAATGTTGCAATTATCTCACTTGATAGACCCATGCGTTCCTATGATCACCCACCTCTCCTATGTGCGCTTCTTCTCACACCTTCTCCTCCCCTCCCTCCTCTCCTACTTTCCAAATCCCCCTCCCTCCAGAGTTCCGGTCATCTCCTCCCCATCACTCCCCCCACCCTCCTCCTCTTCCTCCCTTCCACCCTCTCCTCCTCCTCCTCCGCCGCCCGCCCTCTCGCCCCCCTCGGTGCGGGCAGCAGCAGCGAGTGCGTTGAAGCAGATAGCCCGGCAGATGGATGGAGGCATGGCGTTCGTTGATGGCATGCTGGTGGGTGGATGGCATGCTGGTGGGTGCATGGCATGCTGGTGGGTGCATGGCATGCTGGTGGGTGCATGGCATGCTGGTGGTAGTGGCCCTTACTTCAACCCGCGTGGCATGATTTCTTCAGCCCACGTGCCATCATCAAGTTCACATGACGGGTTATTAGGAGAGTAGGCATTTCAGTCATCCCTCAACCCTGCTCCTCCCTCATACCTCCTCGTCTTCTCTTCGGTGTTCCCCTTCACGTTGTTCCCTCCTCTCCCCTTCATATCCACACATATCCCCTCTCAGGTGGAAGGGGGGGACGTTGTTGGGGGAGAGAGCAACACAAAAGGAGGTGCGGGGAAGGCAGGGAAAGGGGGCGGAGGAAAGGGGGGCAAGGGGGGGAAGAAGGGGGGAGGGAGAGGGGGAAAAGGGGGAGGGGGGAGGGGAGGAGAGGAGGCGGCATCTGAGGGGAGCAGTCACGTGCGTGTGGACTGGGCTCTCCCACCTTCCTGGAACGTTCCTCTTCAGGATGGTAAGTCCCACTGTTTCAAATGAGAATTCTATTTTCAAGTAACGTGTTACCCACTGTATGAGTAACCGATGCCTAGTGTGCTGTCAGCAGGCCACGTGATGCCGGCACACATAGCCCATCATGCACCGCATGCAAGCCATGAGTCTGTTCCCATCCATGCCCCGCACTCCCCATTCCCCCTGCATCATGCCTCGTGCCACGCCCCTCGCGGTGCCTCACCAGTCCTCCCCGTCTCCCATGGCTCTCACGTCCCATTCCCACGCCCCACCACTGCAGGCGCCAAGGATGGGCACGTGCATGGCATGGTGGCGCTGTCAGGCAGTGTGCTGGCGCTCTGCCTCGCCATGCCCCGAGACCCTTTCTACCGAGTGCTGCATGATCTCAAGGTGCGTCTCCTCACTGCCTTCTTTTTACCCGCCTCACAAGTCGACTCGCCATGCCCCGAGACCCCTTCTCCCCAGTGCTGTACGGCCTCAAGGTGCGTTGCTGCCTCACCATCCCCCTTCAAGCCACCTTAAAAGCCGTCTCACTGCCCAGCGTATGAGCGGGCGGTGCAGCGTATGAGCGGGCGGTGCAGCGTATGAGCGGGCGGTGCAGCGTATGAGCGGGCGGTGCAGCGTATGAGCGGGCGGTGCAGCGTATGAGCGGGCGATGCAGCGTACGAGCGGGCGGTGCAGCGTATGAGCGGGCGGTGCAGCGTACGAGCGGGCGGTGCAGCGTATGAGCGGGCGGTGCAGCGTATGAACGGGCGGTGCAGCGTATGAGCTGGCGGTGCAGCGTATGAGCTGGCGGTGCAGCGCATGAGCTGGCGGTGCAGCGTATGAGCTGGCGGTGCAGCGTATGAGCTGGCGGTGCAGCGCATGAGCTGGCGGTGCAGCGTATGAGCTGGCGGTGCAGCGCATGAGCTGGCGGTGCAGCGTATGAGCTGGCGGTGCAGCGTATGAGCGGGCGGTGCAGCGTATGAGCGGGCGGTGCAGCGTATGAGCGGGCGGTGCAGCGTATGAGCGGGCAGTGCAGCGTATGTCTCACCACCCTCTGTCTCACTACCTTCGCCCACGCCCTCCCCCTCTCCTTGCATTTCAGGTCAATGCGGAGCAGACTAGACCTAGTGCAGGAGGAGGAGGAGTGCCTCAGTGCACTCTCTCGACCTCTCTTTCTTCCACCCCACCTGCCCTTTCACATATCTTCCAGGTCGATGCTGTGCGCAGCGTGGTGAGCAGGCTAGATCTGGTGCAGGATGGGGAGGAGGAGCAGGCAGCACAGGGGGAGGGCGGGGAGAACGGGGAGAATAGGGGGGAGGGAAGAGAGGCAGATGGAGAGTATAATGGGAAGGCGAGGAAAGTAGGGGAGGAGGAGGAGGTGGAGAAGGTGGAGGAGGAGGGGGGGTTGACGGAGAGGCCATTGCTGAATGGCAAGCTGCACAGAACGCCCTTCACCAGATGGCACCTCCCCCGGCGGGTGCTGCTGCGCTGCTCTGTGGCTGGGGGAGGGGGGAGGCGGGGGGAAAGTGAGGGGGAGGAGGAAGGGGAAGGGGGCCTGCTGCTGGCGGACTTCTGTGAGCTGGGTGAAGGGGCGGAGGTGAGATGGGGGGAAGGGGCGGAGATGAGATGGGGGGAAGGGGCGGAGGTGAGATGGGGGGAAGGGGCGGAGGTGAAATGAGGGGAAAGGGTGGAGGTGAAATGGGGGGAAAGGGCGGAGGTGAAATGAGGGGAAAGGGCGGAGGTGAAATGGGGAGAAAGGACTACAGTGCTTTGTATCCCCTCCGCTCCTATTCATTCCTGTGACACTTCCGGCTTCCTGCTTGCCTCACTGCATGCACCCATCTTTCCCGTCTCTGCATTCCTTCTACCTTATTCCGTCCCACAGGCAGCAGAGGAGCGATTCAGTGAGCTGTGTGGGATGACGGCAGTGGCATCACCACATGCATCCCGTGCCCCTCCCCTTGCACCCATCTTCCCTCCCACAGGCAGCGGAGGAGCGGTGCAGCGAGCTGTGTGGGATGGCGGCAGTGGCAGACGAGGCAGTGAGGGAGCAGGGCATTGGTGTGGAGTGGGAGGGGTCGCTGGAAGGAGAGGAGGAGCAGAGTGGCATGGAGGGCAGTGCTGCATGTGCTGCTGTGTGGCTTCCCCCCGGAACTGCACCTGCCAAGCCACACAACAGCACCCACACGGACAGCAGTGGCAGCAGTGATGAGAGTGCTGTGAAGGCGGGGGTGGGGGAGAAGGGTTCAGCAGGCAGGGCTGTGTCTCTGTTGTTGGCTGTGCTCGGGGTGCTGCTGGCTCTTGTTGCTGCACTCGTGATGGCTCTCAAATGATACCTGCACTTGCTTCTTCAACTGCTCTAAAGAAGACATTGTGTGGGAGAGTGGATGTAAAGCAATCAAATCTTCAGCACAATGAATAGCTTGTTAGAGGAAAACAATGTGAAGACTCATGACTAATCTACAGCATACTCCCTAGGAAAAAAAATGCAGAAAACAGAGCCAGGTATGGGTGCATGGAGCTGCTGACTGCAACAGCTTCCGCTTGATACAATAACGCACACCAACTTATCATCCCACCACCTCCTGCCCACCTCCCCCTTTCGGCCTGCTCTGCTACTACCACAGCCATCCATGCCTATGCTGTGCTACTGACCCTTCTCCCAGTTTTATCTAAACAAGTACCCATGATCCCATCTCTACTTGGGCAAGTCAACAGGCGGAGGCACATCGAGCTTAACCCCCGCCTGGATCTGCCCCCACCCAATCAGCCGCCAGTGCTTCTCCACGCGCCGGCTCAGAGCGAGCTTCTCGCCAGTCTTGGTGCACACGGGGGAGGTGAGGTGCAGCTTGGCCAGATCGTTCTTTACCGCCACTACGCGCGCACCCGTAGACATGGACCCAATGTTGAGCATCAGCACCTCTCCCTTGGTGAGCTTGGCTACCTTGCCCTGCTTCTCCGTGCCCTTGGTGCGCACTCCCAGCAGCCGCCGCAACAGGAAGAAGTTTATCTGTGGGGGGAAGGGGGGTGGGGGAGTGGATGGGTTGAGGGTGCGGAGGAGTAGACATGGAACCCGATATTGAGCATGAGCACCTCGCCCTTGGCCAGCTTGGCTACTTTCCCTGCTTCTCCGTGCTTTTCATGCGCCCCCCTAGTAGCCGCCGCAGCAGGAAGAAATTGATATGTGGGGTGGAAGGTGCGGTTGGGAGGGTGAGGGAGGAGAGCAGGATGTATGGGGAAAGGAAATATGAGGGGAGCTGGGGGAAAAGAAGAGGAGAAAAAAAGGAACACCTGCCACACAACCATGCCCGCACCTCCCCACTGCTCACCTCCAGCTCAACAACAACGTCAGGCAGCAAGCCCACCTCCCCCAGCACCTGCCCCACGAGGCGATTGGCCTGGTGCTGCATACACCCCATGATCACACCACGCACACTGATCCACGCTCAATGCGCCCCCCATCCACCTGCTCCGTTCCATTCGTCTCACCTCCAGCTCAACAAAGACGTCTGGGAGGGCCCCAACCTCCCCCAGCACCTGCCCCACGAGGCGATCCGCACGAGTAAGCGTGGGGTCGATGGTGGTGCCCACACCGATGAGCCCCCCCGGCACGGCGAACTGCAGCTCGTTCTGCTCGGCGAAGAGCGAGATGATGCGCGAGAAGATGGGCGTGCAGCGGATGTTGCCGTCCGCGTCCTTGGCTACGATGCCCGGCCGCACCTCTATCTTCTGCCCCACGCGCAGCACTCCCTGTGATTGAGGGGAGGACAGGAAGTGCGGGGGCGTGGGGAGGGGGAGGGGGGCGGAGGGTGGGAAAGAGTGGGGGCCGGGCACGAGAGGGAAGTGGGAAGCAGAAGATGGGAGTGCAGCGGATGTTGCTGTCCGCGTCCTTGGCCACGATGCCCGGCCGCACCTCTATCTTCTGCCCCACGCGCAGCACTCCCTGTGATTGAGGGGAGGACAGGAAGTGCGGGGGAGTGGGGAGGGGGAGGGGGGCGGAGGGTGGGAAAGAGTGGGGGCCGGGCACGAGAGGGAAGTGGGAAGCAGAAGATGGGAGTGCAGCGGATGTTGCCGTCCGCGTCCTTGGCCACTATGCCCGGCCGCACCTCTATATTCTGCCCCACGCGCAGCACTCCCTGTGGTTTGATTGACAGAAGAAAGGGATGAAGGGGCAGAGGGGACAGATGGGGGATGGGAGGGAGGGGGGTGGGGAAATGGGGGAGAGGAGAAAAAGAGGTGGAGGGGGTTGAGAGGTTACTACGAGAGGGTGGTGAGAAGCAGCAGATGGGCATGCACCGGATATTGCCATCCGCGTTGGCCACTATGCCCGGCCGCACCTCTATCTTCTGCCCCACCCGCAGCACCCCCTGTTGTACAATTGGGATGGTAAGGAGGGGTGAGTGCAAAGCGCACGAAAAGGAGACAGGAACAAATGGGAATGTGGAGTTAACATGGAGAGAACTGAGAAGCAGGGAAGAGTGAAGGAGAAGGTGGGACGGAGGAAAGGGGGGGGCGTGGAAGTGAGAGAAAGGGGAGGGAGGGAGGGAAGGGGGTGGGAAGGGGGAAGGGAGTAGTAGCAGAGGGGAGCAAGCAGGGCAGGGAGCGACTCACGTGCAGGATACTGCCACCAGCAACGCCGCCTTTGATGTCATCGACCTCAGCGCCGGGCTTGTTGACGTCGAAGGAGCGGATGACAATCATGTTGGGCGGCGACACAAAGTCGCGGTCGGGGATGGGGATGCGCTTGATGATCATCTCGCACACCACGTCCACGTTGTACTTGAGCTGCGCGCTGATGGGGATCACCGGCGCGCCGTCCGCAATGGTGCCCTGCGGTGTGGTCCGGTGGAATGGGGTGAGGTATGGGAGGGCAAGGGGCGAACGTGAGGGAATTAGGGCAGAGGGTGGGGGGTTGTACAAAGTGGGGTAGTGAGAGGATGACAAGAGAGCCATGGATACGATGGAAGGAAGACAGCAACGCGCACCCAAACATATGAAGCCTACACAAGACGAACTGGGGTCTCGCGGTGACAACAGGCCATTCACCTTATCCCCACTCCCTTTTCCCCCTCCTCTTTCCTCTCTGAATAGGTGACAATTGAACCTCTATGCATAGCAGCGTGCTGGATAAGTGCAACGTGTATGCGAAATAAATAGAGTCATATTTTCTCATTTAAATGTTCATTCTTCCCCCATACCTGGATGAATTTTTGGATGGCGTCGTGCTGGTTGAGCGCGACGCTCTCCTGGATGAGGTCGATCTTGTTCTGCAGGATGATGATGTGCTTCAGCCGCATGATCTCCACCGCCGCCAGATGCTCCGACGTCTGCGGCTGCGGGCAGCTCTCGTTGCCCGCGATCAGCAGCAGCGCGCCGTCCATGATCGCCGCGCCGTTCAGCATCGTCGCCATCAGAATGTCGTGGCCCTGCCGGGGGGAGGGGGGAGGGGGGAGAGCGGGGGTGGGGGTTGCGGTGGGTGAGGGAGAGGGAGAGGGTGGCGGGGAAGAGGGAGAACGCGGAGACGGGGTACGGGGAAAGGTGGTAAGCGAGACTGGGAAAGCGGAGAGGGAAAGCGGAGCGGAGGTGCGTGGAGGTCTCGGAGAGTGGGAGCGACGGGGAGGAGTTGAGTGAGGTGAAGTTATCATGGTACGGGTTCCATGCGCTTGGGCTCTCAAAAAGAATTGGACGCGAACACGGGTATGAGACTGCAGAAGGATGTGCGACGAGACGACTGCGTGCCTTAGAATGTCTGCGGCATGAAGCGAATAGGCTAGTACCGGCTAGTATAGCGAGGGATGCAAATCAGCAGCAGGAGTGCGTGGCTTGGGAGTGAGCACGCGGTTCCTAGTGAGCACGCGGTTCCTAGTGAGCACTGTGGAGATGGCAGCGTATCAGGGAAAGAGGCTAACACTGGCCACTATCAGCAGCAGCAATGCGAGCACCACACGCTTCTGCAATGACCTACGGCCTCACCGGGCAATCGACGAATGACACGTGGCGCATCAGCTTCATGCGGGCCTTTTCAAATCCCGGCACGTCGCATAGCGGGCTGTCCTCCTTGCTGCTGCCGTACGCCCTGCACGCGCGAAAGGAAGCATAAGAGATTAAGACCGACCCACAGCTGCAGCGGCAAAACCCTAACTTGAAGCGCCAAGATCAGCCTTGGCCTCGACTCTGGCCAAACCTCGCCAGAACTCTCCCCAACATCACTCCACCCGTCTACGCCGAAGTCCACCGCTCTCAAACCCTCACAATAGTCCTCTAGAAGGAGGACAACTCGCGAAGCGACGCACTTGTAGCACATGGGGCGAGGGCAGGCGTCGTCCTCGCATTTGTAGATCTTGGCGTTGGCGTATCCCAGCTTGATCGTGATGTTTCGCTCCAACTCGTTCTTGAACCGCACCGTCTGCGGCACAAGAATCCACGCGAAGGCGGATCAGATTGAGAAAGTGGAGGGAGGGCGTTGTTCTCAAGGATCGGCACATGAGATGAGGGAAGGGAAGGGAGGTCGTGGACACAGGAACGCGCTGCGGAGAAGGCAAAAACGCGAGGAATTGCGCGTGAGATGCGCATCAGGATGAGAAATGGTCCCGATCTATCGTTTGACTATGCAGTTTCCCGCATTCCACCAAACGCTGACTCGAACCTAAAGCGCCGACCGTCTTACCTGGACGCCAGAAATGGCCTTAACGACAGTCGATTTGCCGTGAGCCACATGGCCGATTGTACCTGAGAGTCGCAACCAAGAAGGAATGGTACAATAGGAGGAAAAAAAAGTTAGTCAAAGGTCAACAAAAGGTTATTAGAATGAAGGAGGAGCCTACTGCACGCAAGGAGTGTGATCTGGACGCACCGATGTTGATGGTGGCTTGTCGACTGATGACTTCAGGAGACAGCGGATTGAGCTTCGTCACATCCAGCGTCTTGAGATCCTGCTCCATTAAACCCTTGCGCGCCATGGTGCTCTCTCGCTTGCCCACCCGCCAAATCTGTAGATTCAAAATCCGCAAAATATACTAATCTCAACGTAGCAATAGGCTCCAAATTACCGCTAGTTTGAAGGTGCTGATCAGCAGAAAGGGTGAAAGAAACCATGGTGATTACACGCAAGGATCCATGGCGGCTGGCTGTGAGAGGAATGAAGCACAAGTGGGCTAGGAAGATGGAGGGAAGGTGAGGAGCGAAAGAGATTCTCTCGAGAGCAGAAACAGCACTTCAACCAAGATGCCTTGGGTTTGTCGCATAACGACACTCAAACGAGTATAACCTGGAGAAGGGAAAACAAATCTATGTACAGTAGTCCTTACGAGCTGGTACGAATCGCCAGGCATTATCAATTAACAACACCACAAAACCTATTCCCGTGATTTTCTGGTTATTCTAGCACAGCACATGCACAAATATTCTTTAAAATCATGATTTCCCACCCGTGGCTTCCATTTGTATGAGGGAGGAGTGAGTTGGCTCAGTGAAATGTGAGATATGCCCCCTCTGCCTGTGGGACTGCAGGTGGGTGTGAGTGACAAAGGCCACCGCCAGCACGCAGCCCGCCAGCCCGCCAGCCTCGTTTTAAAGTACTTCTCTCTCTTGCGACCCATGGAGAAGGAATTGAAGTGCATTATTGTGATTGGCCAAAGGCACTGCGACCAAAACAGTGACATGACGCCCATCGCCAGTGCTGCGGCACTTGTTTCTGTTTCTTGCACCTCTGGTTCATTTTATAGAGATGTTTTCTGGTTCAAATGCTAAGAGATTTGAACGCATCAGCAAGCAAGGAAACGGAACTTTGGGCCAGAAGCAGAGATGCGGTTGGATGGATATGATATCTCCTAGTCATAGACCATGGTACCTGCAAGGGGAATGGCTGATGCAGGCAGCTACACTTTAGTTGTTGATCCGCTAGTGGGAGCACCTGAACTGCTGGATCTGGGATTGAACAAAAAACCCGCATAATAAAGAAAGCTGTACATAGAGGATAAGAACTACTAGTAACTAAGTGCACACAGATCCAACTCATGGTTTATGTACAGCTGCACACAGCACAAAGGCGAGGATGTGGTAACATCCTGGAAACTGCTGAACTTGATGAGTGTACAGTGGGGTGGCTGGCTTGCTGGGTTTCGGCTTCCAAACCAAACCAAACGCAAACAGAAACGCAAACGCGTGGAGAGCGCTGAAGGTAACTGGGGGAACTGGGGAGCACTGAAGAGCGCTGAAGAGCATTGAAGAGCACTGAAGAGCGCTGAAGAGCACTGAAGAGCGCTGAAGAGCACTGAAGAGCGCTGAAGAGCACTGAAGAGCGCTGAAGAGCACTGAAGAGCGCTGAAGAGCACTGAAGAGCGCTGAAGAGCACTCAAGAGCGCTGAAGAGCACTGAAGAGCGCTGAAGAGCACTGAAGAGCGCTGAAGAGCACTGAAGAGCGCTGAAGAGCACTGGAGGCACTAAGGGTGTCTGGGTCTGCTGTAGCGGGTACGAGTGTGCTGCGGCCATTCTCTCTCCTGGAGCAATTTCGATGGGAGCAGTCGACGGAACAGCCAGAGTGTATACGGGCCACGCCAGGACCAGAGAGACGTTAAAGTATGATCAACCGCTTAACTGGTCCGTGGCGTGCTGTGGTATGGGGTATGGTGTATGGTGTGGCATGGCGATCCCGTGCAGAGATGGCATGTCATGGGGAGGTGGATCGCATGGCACGCTCTGCAGGGGTTGCATGCCATGGCATGGTAAATCCGATCTGGAATATCCGATCTAGAAGTTGGTATGCAGATCTGACGGTGGACGGCACTGAATAAAAATGGCCGGAGCTGGAAAGCTGGGTTAGAAATTAACGCGAAGGAGCTGCGACGGCAGTGGTAGCAGGGGAGTTAGCGAGGTCAGTAAGAACACCTGCTGCGGCAGCCATGGCGACAGCAGATGCTTCGGAGACAGCAGGCAGAGCAACGCGTTTCGCAAGCGACGCGTTGCCTGCAGTATGGCCGCGCAGTTGCGAAGCTGGCGACGTCAAGGCGAAAGCACGGACCAGGTCCTGAAAGGGATCGCACAGGAAAGGTCGAGACGTGAGACAGCAGGTCGCGACGAAAAACCCTCCAACAACCCCTTCCATAGCACATCGGTTTAATGTCATAAGCCATTGTGATGTCCTTACCTGCTTCCTTGTAGACTTGACTCCGCGAACAGCCACGTCAGCAGCAGCGGCTACCACACTGGGAGGGACCTTCATCCGGCCGAAGACGGTAGTCCTCAGCTGAAGCACGAAGGCTGCGAGGTAGCGAGCGTGAGACGATGAGTTCCCATCGCGGAACAACGATGACCTGCAGAGGAAAAACATAATCGTTAGAACAGTTGCATGTTTCGAACCCACATGCCACCACAATTCCTGTCCAAACGACAATCTTCCAACTACCATAACCCTTGAAAAGGCCAGATTGAGGACTATTGGTTCACTGTCAAGCTGTAAGTTCCCAAAACCAACTGGTACTCACCATAGACTGCGTAAGAGCCCAGCAGCGGCCTCCTTGTCTCCGGAGGCCGGGAGATGCAGGGACGGGAAGAGGCGAGACACCCAGTCAAGCTGCCGCTCCAGCATGCAGCCCTTGACCGCCGATAAACCCTCTAGACATGCCAATGTCTGGCAGAAGGCGTCCGTGCTGCATGGTGGCACGACGGGAATAAGCAAATAAGCATAACAAAAGTTCGTTTAGATACGAGAATTGAGACTGGCTGGGACACAGACGCAGCGTCGAATGAGGCTAAACGGAAACGAGAGTGGCAGCGCGTGGCAGCGAGTGTGGCTCGTGACGAACCTCAAGGAATTGGTGGATGTGCGCGCGGTCCGGGCTTTGTGGGCGACGAAGAGGCATGTCAGTGCGAGCACGTGACGCTGCACCGTGTCGCGATGGCAGCACGCTCCGCCGAGCCGGCATCGTAATTGACACGCGTCGTGGAGCATCACGGCCGTCAATAAGTCCGACGGGCCGAACCCAAGCGTCACAGCCGCCTGAAAGACACACGTACCACATCAGCACGATTTTTTGGATCAACCTCACCACAACCGATGTTGACTCGCGGCGAAAATCACAAATTTAACATGAATGTGCCAGGAAGAAGCTCACCTGTGAGAACATGGGAAGCAGCTGCGACCGTTTGTGTCCGGAGCAACCCGCACTGACTTCTCCCGACTCCACAGCAGGACCCGGTCCTTCTGCTGAACCCGTCGACACCTTGACTGAAATTCTCGCTCTTTTATGTACACCCGCTTCAGCTCGTTCCCAGCTTCCGTGAAACTCGTCAGGGACGGGAGGTCCTACTGGGGGAGGCGTGGCTGAGGATGGGTCGGCTGAAATTGACTCATCCCAGCTATCGCCTGAACCCTCTTCCGTTTCCGCGAACCGGGACCCGTCGAGCCGGGAGCTGGTCGCGTGCCTTGTCCTACTTCCCGTAACGTAGAGCTCCTGGAGCCTGCGCTTACGCGCAGCCTTGGCACGCTCGATGATATCGACGGGGTTTAGCGTGCAGGTCGCCATGGAAACCCGACGGCGTGGGGAGAAACCTAAACTTCACTACGCTGCGAAGACAAAAGCTAAGGAACTGAAGCTGACCAGAGGGTTGAAGAGAGGTTCTAGAAACTAGATGAAGACTCCGACATGCAATCGTAAATTTGAAGGTGTGAATGAGATTGAGATTAGGAACCACAACTGACCGACTGAGCCAGAGCGAGACTTTTCATCTCGTCTTCGGTTCCGTTCTTCCTCCTAGCAGTTTGCACGGCACCGCTACTGCTCTCTGCTTTACCGGTCTGCCTGCCTCCTGCGTCAACTGCCCCGTGACCTCGTCTCGTTCCCCCCTTTCCCGCTCTGGTCGTGTCAACCATACCAGGTCCATGCCAGCGTGGCAGGCATCCCCCAGGCGGAACCAACCGAGATTCCTTTTCCTTGGAGGTTGACGGCGCCCAGACCACGCGCCCTCCTCGCCAACCCTCGATTCCTTCTTCATGCCTGTCAGGCATTCGGCAATCGATCCCTGGTTACCAGGAGAACCCGTTGGCTCTGGGGTTGGGTCTAGAAAAATGGGCAGATACGATGACGCCAGCGCGACGCGGCCAGTTGCGGTGTTCCGTTCCGTCCCCTTGAGAGGAGAATGTCACCGGTTGTTTAACAGCCAATCGCAAAGGATTCTGCTGCCACGTACGCGAAGCTGGAGAATGGTGGAATTCTCTGGTACCCGTCGATTCGATGCTGCGGGTTTGGATGTCTGGCATCGATGTGTTCTGAGCTGGTCTGCTTTCGTGGAACTTGAAATTTCTGAAATCCTATGGTCAAGGGAGAAGATGTTGGGAGAGAGATTACGATGGCGCGCAATACCTCATCCACACCCAAAGTTCGAGGGGGCGAGGCGCAGGTATTTGGTATAAATGATCGGGGTGATCCGGATATTCTACCTTTCCCAACAAAAGAATACTGAACAGAATCTGTAACATGCTCAGAAAATCGAGGGGGTTCGTCCACGTGGACGCTTATCCGATGTGGAAGTGTCGTGCATGCCCGAAGAACGTTTTTTTTGCCCATCCTAAACCCCCAACGTCCTCTCCAGCGCTTTCTGCTGCCTGTCCTTGCGCTTTCGTTCGAACAAGCCACACCACTCGAGGTTTTGCGACGGCAGTGAGTACAGTATCTTCGTTGTGGATTGTGTGTGTCGTTTCCGGCATGTAATTATGGCTCATTGGCTCGAAATTTGAATATGATGAACCAATCGGAGAAACGGAGGAGTCCTTCTGAGGTCCGATTGGCCATTCCAGTTCCATGCCGCCGGTCACGTGAATCGCGTCGTACACGGCAAGAATCGTGGTCAGCAGTCACGCCGCAAACGTGGAACTTTTCAATGCTTACGTCATAATCTGCTGGTCCCTCTCCTTCAAACTGGTTAGGTGCACTCCAGCCAAACCATTAAAGCAGTCTTGGGG